TTGGAATCACACCGACCAGAGTTCCAGAACTAGCTCCACTACTTACTTTCTACCCATGATCTTAGGAGAGTAGCTCTCTTCTGTTATTGAAAAAACGAAAATGATAAAATACTTAACATCGTAGCAACACACTCAGAATTAAATGACAGAATTAAATTAAAAAGCATGTATGGATTAGAAATTATTTTAAGCAGGATGATCATACCAAATGCCAAGGATTAAAATTTAGTACTGAATAATTAATTCAACTGAAAGCCTACCATGAGCAAAATATAATATATATCACTTTGGAAGAAACAAATATGTGTAAGAAAGGATCCTAAATGACTCCTAATCCTTAAAAAGCATAACAACAGAAGTAAGAGGTATATAATTACAAACGGGCTAAAGGCAAAGAAAACAAACTAAACACTATGGGTAGCTGGAGAAAGAAGTAATAAGCCTTTTCCACTTTTACAGATAAAGTGCTACCAGAGAAGGGAGAGGGAAAGCTAATTTCCCCAGTACTTACATGCCTTCTACCCTCAAACATCACCTCACCCTTATCAATATTTATGTTTCCAAATATAGCATGCCTCCATCACTTTGTACATTGGATTCTCTATCTAGAAATGCCTCCACTTTTTCCTGGCAATTTTTCTTCAAGACCTCCTCAAACGTCACCTCCTAAGTAAAGCCACTCTATAGCTTACCACAATGCAACTTAACTATTTGAATATGATATGTCCCTCACATTATATAGTGCGTACCCCGAGAGCAAGAATTGCACTCTTAATTATTTTGTATCCCTGCCGCCTGCCTCTCTATCCAACACCTACTTCCCAGCTTAGTATTGGTACATAGTAAGTACTCAAATATATGCTGAATGAATAATGAATGAATTAATAATAGCATTATTATGAAGTACAAGGATGAGAAATGTCAACAGAAAGTTTTCAGCCTGGTAACTAGGAAAGTATTAGGAAAAAAAGGGAAGCGAAAGCATTTTAGACAAATTAAACAACATAAAGACTATAAGATGAAAAATTAAACAGTGTGCTCTAAAAGGGGCAAAAAGTTCCAAAAGACCATGAGCTCCTCACAAAAAAGGATCTTCATATGTATCCCTAGTCTTCACATTGACTTAAAAATATTGTTTAAAAGACATAGTCATAATATATATATATGTCTAATGCTACTTACTCCGAACTAGAGCACTACTAAAGCGCTAAAACAGTGAAAGCCTCACTTGAACTAAGTTAGGATGTCATTATTTCTTGGTAAAGTAATGATGTTTAAATAGAACTATTGCTAGGTAAGCCAAAATTTAGCTGAAGTACATATCTACAATGAAAACCAGAGTTACAATAGGAGTACATAAACAAGACGGTGCAACAAAAATCACTTAATTAAAGTTTAATCTAAATATAATTATCTATGGTAATCTTTTTTAAAAACATAGTTCATCAAATATTTAGTCTGTTTTTAAATTTCCAATCCTCAACCCCGTTCTCCCCAGTAGTTTGAGTCAGGCTCCAAATATGGTACACACGTTGATGTGAATGCAAAATTGTTTTAACTAGAAGAGGCTGATGTAAAGATTGCCAAAGGCAACTTTTTGGTACTTCTGTATCTTTTTAAGTCTGTAGTATCAGTCCTTGATTATTTCTAATTTTATTTCCAATTTCCCAGTTTTCTTTTTTTTTTTAATTGAGTAGTGTTTTACAGTGGTCAGCCATAATTTATAGTTGATTTATTCACCACTGGACTGAAGTATTAAAAAGGGAGAGTATGTGTTAAGTGTTTCCACTGCAGTAAATGAAGTAAAAGATGCAAAGGAAGAAGTAGCAAGATGCACTTATTCAGCTGCATTATTCATTAATTCCTCGAGGGGATGAGACGGAATCATTATGCCCTCTGTGCCCTGTCATGTTTAGTCCTGCAGAGTAAGGTACTCCTTAAAAACTCAGGGATTGTCTAAGAGGCCTGTCCTGGTCCCTAAAATCAAAACCTTAGAAAACTAGCCTGCTCTTGCGTACGCCGGGCTCTGACTCTCTGGGTCTTCATCTAACACCTGCACTGAAGCAACTTTATACCAGGTCTGTTTGGAGCCCTAGGCTAGCTGTCACATCCCCTCTGTCATCTTGGTTCACCACATAAAATATATGTCATCTGGCTGTTCTCTAATTTTTATACCAAAACTGCTCTAGGCTTCTTCTTGATCCAACATCAAATTCTTTCCATCCATCTCATGACTTTGTACTGTATCTAATCGGACCCTTCCTCCAATGGTAAACAAACTCGCTTTCAAACTTTGCGGGTCACAGTGCTGCCACCATCTGTATGTCAAGTCAATGCGGATTTGATGCGGATAACATCCAACTGCCTAGCCTTTTAGTTCTTAAGACTCAGGCAGATCCAATGACTTTTACTTCCAATGCACTTCAGCTACCCTCTCATGGCCACAGTAATGGGCCAGTTCATTCAATAAAATGCTCTAAGTATGAAATCAAATTCAAATATTCTACTTTATCACACAAATTGCTTGTATCCTTCCAGCTCTTTAAGTATAGGGCACTCACAATACTGTTCTAGAATTTTATTAAGTCCTCTAAATCCCTTGGACACTCCATTTCTAACTTAGGCTGGATCCCACAGCTGGTGATCTCAATTGCCCTTTCATTAGCATCTGAAATTCCCATTGTCCCTATTTTCCTGTCACAGCAGCCCAGGAAATCCCAGCCAATGCTGTAATCTGCTTTCTTGGCTCCTTTAATTCTCGATACTTAGGGCTATGTGGGAGGTGGGGTATCCAGAATGGATCCATCCAGTGGTCTTACTGGCTCCTTAGTGGCCCGATAACTCAAAACAAGTAGGTTTTTTGGGGGGGGGGTCAGATTCCTCTTCTATTTCTCACAAAGATTATTCCCAATCTTTCCAGCATTTCTGTATCTTCTAGTTTAACTCAATTGTTTTAGTATCAATTGATGGCTTTCCTTTCTTCTACTTTATGGAAATCATGGTCTCCTTCAAACTCTTCCCTTCTTCCTTCCATCCTTAAAAATTTATCCACTACCATACATACCCCCTCCTCCTTCACAGAAACAACTCCCCAAATGTGCCCTCAATTCCACTTTCTCCTCCTTTTTCAGTCTTCAGATTTCTTACCTATATCTTCAATGTCCCCCTTTTCTACTGGCATATTTAATTTATAAGGATCTCAAGTCACTACCATCCTTTAACTAATGGAACCAGAGAAACCTCAGCCTTAATATCAGTCATTTTGAGTTACTTACATTAAAAGAAAACTCATGTCCTTCTTTAACATAACAAGTTAGAAAATATCAAAAGCCACTTCATTTTACTTTTTATCTCTAATATTCTGCATCTAGATTTTTCAAGTAAATCAGTGACAATCTCCTCATTCACATACCAGTGAAACCCCATCAACAAGTATATGTATGGCTCATCCATTTGGCATTCCCTCTCACCTTTATTATGTCTTCTCTCTCTGACCTCAAGATTGTCTACCAAAAACTGTATCCTGGATAGAGTTTAAAAGTGTCAAATAACAGAACACCAATGTTCCAAAATGAAGCCATGGGATCTAGAACTTCGACACATAGCACACTTCTTGCTCTTTTTTCTACCTCTGCTTACTCTCCTGTTTTACCTTCCCTTCCAAAAGCTTCTCCTCAATGAAATAACAAAGGAATTAGGAAGAAAATTTTGAAGTCAGGGAGGTAGTAAAGATAATATATTCTAATGTAATGCCTTATTAGGGCCTTCAAATAAACAAAGGTCTAAATTAGTCAAAATTTAAAAAGTAAACTATTGACAAAACAAATAAAATAGCTATTATAATTATCTCATTTAAAATATCATTTTCCTAATACTAAGGAAGATTTGGTTACCATAATGAGAAATGGTTTCACGTCATTTAAAGCCAACTTTCTAGTCACAGATGAAAAAAAAGCAAAAAAAGCTGTAGGCCAACACTCTCCAAACTTTATCACACATCTATTAGTAAGAAATATATTTACAGATAGATCTCTCCCCACTGTACTATTATAAAACATATACAAAGGAATAAAAAAGAATGAGACCGATAAATTTAAATAGAAGCTCTATTATTTTCTTTTCCAAAGAATCATCTTATATAACCACCCCTTTGGAGAACATTACTCTGGACTATCAAGGAGAAAAACAAACAATATATTGAATGATTTGATATAAAGAGCTAGCTTTATACACTGATTTTTAAGAAATTCAACTGCTTAAAATACTAAGCTTTTTTTTAAATAAAAATTTACCAGTGCTATTTATTAGCAGTGTCATAAGGAATACATACATTTGATGGAGATGAAAAGGAAGAAAAATCATACTTTTCTATTTAAATTATAAAAAGAGCTGTGGATTCCTATCAAATTTAGTGATACAGCAAACTTCTGAAGAGTGGCTCTAAGTATTCTATCGCATCTGTCAAAGTGGCTCAATGAATTATCTCAGACACTAGGATTTAGTTTCAACTAGAACACTGTAGCACCGCAAGTCTAAAAATCCACCTTATTTTAACACAGTAGTATTATACGCCGAGAAAGAAAAGACTCAAACGTAGACAAAACACAGAGAACTACAAAATGCCAACATAAAAAAAAGCTATACGTGTTTCTGAAATGAATCGCAAAACCAAATTTATAAATTTTAATTTGGAATTCATTCCAAACAGTAATGTCAATAAGAAAGGGGAAAAAAGTAACCGCTCTCATTCCCTACCTCTCTGAAAGGAATTCAGTGGGCCTCACTTTATCACCTCCTGCCTGTGATGGGTCACAGGAAGTATGAGAGTCCTCAGCCTTGCCAAATTCTGCCTTTATCACACAGAAGCTCTCAGAATTCGAGCAATTATAAAAGTTATTTAGTTGCGGTTTACCTCAGAACTGAGCAGCCTTAATTAAAGAAAGCCCTGTAATGAGGACAGGGTATACCTATAATGGTTTCTAAAACCACCTTTTACTTACATCAACAGGGACCAGGAGACTCTTGCCGAGATGCTGATTAAAAGAGAGGCACCAGGCTTCAGTGTAACCATTCATGTTAGGAACATACTTCTTTATCGTCTCGTCATTCAGTCTCAGCCACACACCGTCATCATTGTGGATCTATGGGAAATAAGCAACAGAAACAAGCCATGCCCTCCTGTAACTCCTGTGAGGGCAGCAAGGTCTGAAAGGCTACAGAGCAGGCAAATAACGGTGGATGTGGAGATTAAGCATCTGGTTTGGCAGAAGGTTAAGCATGAGAGAAATTTTAAGGAAAAAAAGCAGCAACGAATGCCAAGTAATATAATAATTCACATGGTGAGATTGTAAAAAGCAAAGGTCACTTAGAAGTAAAAGGACAAAGAAATCACACTTTAAGATAAATAATTCAAGCATAAAATCAGATGTTTCCCAAAAGAACATAAGTCTTCCTTTCCCTCAGTTTAGATTTTAATAATCAGAAGTTACCTGACTGTATTATTAGAAAAATGTACTGTCCAAAGTTAAAGCGACACAACAAACACATTCAAAAAACAAACATTTTAAAAATTCAAGAAACACTGTACACATTTTTCAGTGAGTACTTGTACAGGTTCTGACCACTATGTCAATTGAATTTCTTTCATGTTAAAAACACCATTTTAGTTACTTTTTAATAGATAAAGAAAAATAAATGAAATGTTTGAAACACCATGAACAGAATTTTGAAATTCTGCAAAACAATTTTCCAAACACTACCCAAAATGCTTAAAACATATTCTAACAAAAAACTCAGTAACCTTATATTGTGCAAACAACGCAAAACTTCCTGTCCAAAATTTATTACCAAGTGTTTCTTTACAAATTACCTCATCAATGAAAGTGATAGTTCCATTGACCTTCACTATGCCTATCTGCTCACTCTGAAGGGAAGGGTGGCTGCGGATACGGAGCCCTGCACTGTCCTTGGCCACAAATTTTCGAACCTGAGAAAGGCAAAGACAGACATATGAGACAGAGAAAATCATGGAACAGAGACCTCATACGTGGTAAGAGATAAACTTAAACAGATCTGAAAGTGTAATTCTGAGAAAGTTTCCAAAATTATTTGTAGCTGGTTTCTCTGTGCAAGTAACAGTGGTTATTTATAACAATAGAACATTTTAAAATATGAAAATGTAAATCATTAAATAAAAAAGAAAATTATTAATATATATTCATAATTTATTTTCTAAATTTTGAAGACATATGATAAAGAGGAGGAAAAAAGTCTTTTTTTTTCCTTTTAGGAAGGTATGATATAAATTCTATTACCCATGTTTCGTTTTTAATAAGTAGTGCTAAAATTGCCATAGTACTTACTCTTTAGATGCTAGGAAATTAGTTTTTATTTTAACAACACAAAATACTTTAACTTTGTAAATTTTATACACTTAATGTCAGTAGACTTTTGCTAACTATAAACTTTCAACAACAAAAAGTACAAAGAAAGGCCTATAAATTACTATACATTATACAAAGAAGCCAAAAAGCACAGGTTGTACAGTTGAGAAATGATTAGAATTATCAACTACTCTTCAAATTTATTTAGGAATATTTAGAGTTCAAATACTATATTTCACTTTTATTTTATATTTTACTTTATGTAAGTAAAATACTAGATGTTTGATGGCCACCTTAAAGTATCAATGAAAAAATTTAACAAATCTCTGACCAATTCATGCTCTGTTTTCATTCTACCCTAACCTTATTTGGTTGAGGCTCAGTCTTTGGTTTGACCAGCTGAGTTCCTGGTGGTATCATCCCTTTTGGCGGGTCTTTTACTTTTACTTCTAGTCCAGCATCTGTAAGGAAAGAAAGGGAACTGTAACATTTGAGAATAAAAGGGAGGGAGAATAAAAGTTAAACCTAACTTTATATACATTCACAGGCTGTTTTAAACAATTGAAACCAATACCTGAATTCTTCCCTTTTAAGGTGATTGATATTTAATAGCTAAAAAAGAGAAATATTTGAAAAATGACCCTGAGATTCTAAATGGGTATCTCAGGGGTTCAAGGAAAAGAGAAGGGAATATGGAATATACGAAATGATACTGAAAAAAACCAAATAATAAAAAAGAAACCCTTGTGTGATTAAATGTAATCTCACACATGAGACCAGAGCACTGCTCATCATCTATCCCAGTCATTGCCACGAAAAGCAGCACAGCTTGCTGCTCAAAGCTGGGGTTCTCATGTGAGACTGCCTTGGTTGTTCCCACATCTGTCACTGACTGTATGACTCTCTGTGCCTCATGTTTTTACCTACAAAACAGGAATGAGAATAGTACCTATCTCAAGGAGCTGTTGTTGTGAGAATGAAATGATTTTAAAGACATACATAAAATATAAAAGATACGCATAAACATATATAAATATACATATTTATACATATACAAATAAAGACATACACAAATATATAAGGCTTTATGAATATGTTGAAATAAAAGAGTGCAGCAAAAGCCAAGGCTAAAGGTCCCTGGAATGGAATAGATGTATCTGATAAATCTGAGTCTATAGTTACATTAATGCATAGTCTATACAGTTACATCAATGTCAAGTACCTCTTCATCTTCACTGTGAAAACAAACTATTTAAACTTTCCCAGAGGGTATTCTGGTAGAATGTTATTCAGTATTACTTTTCTCTCTACCCTGTCTCCCTCTTCCCTACATGCAACGGTCTCATGACAAAGATTAAAAAGGTTAGAGGATTCTTCATTTCAGGACTTCTTAGAATCCCTAGTAAGTTAATGTGATCTGTATGAATTTCTAAGATGAGACTACAATATAGTGGGTTTTCTAAATCTGCCTGATCATACGAACCCTTTTGCTTAAGAAGCATTAGGAAAGATAGTGTTATAAGGAATTCATACTGGGAAACACTGAAACACTAAGAGCTTTCTTATTCTACTGTTGTCCTATTATATGAATAGTTCACAAATAAAGCAGAGAAAGAGATTAAGGCTCAAGGAAAAGCAGTATACTTTTCAAAGTTAGTGGTAGGTAAAAAAAATTCATTCTTTTAACAAATATTTATTGAGCAGCCATCCTGTGCCAGGCACTGTCCAGACAGGGAGATCCAAAGATGAAAGAGATTTCTCTGCTCACAGCCAGGAAAAGAAGACGAACACACCACAAGGGGGAGACAAGGCCTGCATGTGGTTATGGGGCAGCACGGAGGAGAGTGCACCTGACCAGTCACGTTAGGAAGTGCAGGGAAGGAGTCCTGAGGGCTACAATGACACATAAATTACTACACAATTTTAAAATCTTATGAATGCATAAATTAAGTACTCATTATAAAGGAGGAAATGAAGCCCCCTAAAAGTTATGGTACCTGTCCATGTCTGTGATGCATGTTAAAGGGCAAACTAGAACAGAAAGATGATTTTGATTCTAGTTCTTTGCACTAAGTAGCTCGTAACTTTAAAAAAGTACCTATTTCAATGCCATCGATGGTCACATGAATAGTGTAGAGTCCAATAGCGCCCGGTGTCCAATTTGCACAATAAGTGCCATCATTATTGACACGAATCAGCATATTCTCACTGGGTCTGAGAGGAAATAAGATGAATAGTGGAAAATTTACTTCTGGTTAAACGGCTGACATCATCACTAAGATGTATCAGCAAACATTAAATTCCTTATTGCATTATCACAATGAAGGGCAATCCTACTGCCCTGGCACAGTATGTTTGTTTTTCTACTCTCCAAAATGACTGAATTTCATTTTTTTTTCCTCACTTCAAAACTTCTTCACTCTCAGCTGATCATGACTTCATCACTTTCTTCAGTGAAAAACAGAACCAATCAGATACTACCTTAGATTAGTAAACCACTTTCCTCTACCTCCTGTTACAATGGAAGGAGTGTCCTGGGTCTTGTCCAAAGCCAGCCCTTCTACATGTGCTGTGAATCTCATTTCTTCAACACTTCTGTGCTGCAGTTACCTTGCTTTCTTCTCATTCATCCTCAGTGTCTCCCAATTTACTGGATCATTTCAATTTCTATTTCATTTCTATACAAACAAACTTGAGAATCTCCCATCTTAAATACCTCCCCTTTGATATTACAGCCTTCTCTAGTAAGGTCTCAATGTCTCTTTTCTCATTTACAGTAAAACTTACCTAAAGGATTGTCTACAATCACTCTCCACTTCATTTTCAATTCTCTTCTACAGCTAATCTCCACTAGGCTTTTGCTCTCAAATTTCATTGCAATTGCTTACATCACAGTCACCAATGACCATCATGTCCCCAAATTCAATGGTTGTTTCTTCTCAGCAATCTCTCAGTAGTATTTGATAACTGACAACTCCTACTTTCTGGAAAAACCTTGTTTTCTCTTCTGCAACATTCTCCTGGTTTTTCTCTTAGTGCTTTGTTGGCTCTCCCCTGGCTGACCACCAACTTACAGAATGCCCCAGCATTTGGGTCTAGGCCTTCTTTTTTTTTCTTTCCACATCATCTCTTCAGTTGATTATTCATCTCTTCCTCAGTTTTAAATACCATCTCTATAAAGATGACTCAAAAATTTATATCTCCTCTGAATTTCAAACTAGTATTTCCAGTTGCCCTGGAAATATCCCCACTTGGATAACTAAGAGGCATCTAGGCATCTCAACTTTAATATATCTAAAGAAGAATTATTATCTTCCCCTCACCCCAGCACCCAACAAAACAAAAAACAAAAACAAAGAACTTGCTCCTTTTTCAGACTTTTTGATCCTCATAAAAATCATGATACCAGGAATCAGTAACCTTTTCCATAATGATACATCAGTCTATTGTGCCAGTCTTTGTCACAACTACTTAACTCTACCACTGTAGTTGTGAAAGCAGCCATAGATAATATAAGATTATGAGCAAGGCTGTGTTCCAATATAATTTTATTTACAAAAACAGGCCTGACTGGGTCTTCACATCAAAGTTGGCCATCCCCTCTGCTGCTAGATAATCTATACTGCTGCTGAAGCCAAAAAAAAACCCTATCTTCATTCTTGGATCTTCTCTTTCCTTCACCTCCTATTTCCATTCTAGCTGCAGGCTGTTGGCTTTACCTTCTAAATATATCCCAAATCCATGCACTACTCTTCATTTCTACTTCTAAGTTCCTCTGCCCCTATTCAAGCCACCTGACAAGTCTCTAACTCACCTCTCTCTTCCCACTTGCTCCCCTGTAATTCACAAAATGCTACTTCCCTATTCCTAGACAAAGATGCATTCTCAAAACGTGGCTATTTTGACAGAAAACTTTCTGGGCTGTCCATTAAAACTCTACTTTGTATACATGTCAGAATAAGCCCATAGTAACCTTCTAACTTCTAGTAAGTCATGTGATACACAATACAATGAAATGTATAAGTAAGTAATTATGCTGTTTCAGATTCACTCTGGAACTTTTCCTAAATTCTATGGAGGTAGTCTCTCAATCCAATCCAATCCAATCAATATTTTTTTCTAAGCAACTGTTTTAAAAAGTACTTTCTCCTAACAAGCAAATAAAATAGTAAGCCAAAAAAATCTGCTTCAATCTGGAGTTAACAGAATTACTCAGAAGCTTAAAACTAAATACCTCATAACCAAAACTACAAGTGCAACATACACTGAAATCACTCGTCCTCTCCTTAGGTGAAGGAGAGAGGGAAATGTAAACAGGAAAACAAAACAAAACAAAACAAAAAAACCTAACTTAACGAAGCTTAACAAGCCACTTTACATACTTTTAGATACTAGTTATTCTTTCTGTACTACCTTAGTACTACGTAGCATTAGCAATATTACAGTTCAGTATAAATACACTCTACCTATTCTACTGCACGTCTACATCCTATAAAACCTGTGGTAAATCTCTACTGGAAATTTTAAAATGCTCTAAAATATTTATTTTTGGAGAATAAAGTTGGAATGCAGGGTGATTTTAGCTGCAAGCAGTTGACAACACATGTTTTCGCCATGCTTTTAGAAAATGATCCTCACCTCTTAGGAGTTGGTGATGCAAAACGCAGTTCTTCAAATGAGTAGTTTTCATAAACCTTTAAGAAAGAGACCACGAATCACAAAATCATTAGAAACATTCTTAACTAATGCAGTGATAGACATTCAATAAATGGTGCTGAGACAACTGGTTATCCATATAGGAGAGAAAGAAGAACACTCAATTACCTACATCACACCATTTACAAAAAATAAATTCTAGGTGTGTTAAAAGCCAGGATGTAACAAACAAAACATTAACAAATTCAGAAAGCAAAAAGGATAACATCTTTTGAGCATTAAAGTTTTTAATTTCTCCAAAACAAAGACATTCCAAAGAAAGGGCAAAGATAAGACTTCACCTGGAAGATGGGGATTTATAATTCATATAACCAAACAGGGGTATGAATCCACAGTATACACAGAACAAATCAATACATACGCGGGAAACAACACAACAGAAAGTGAGTAAAGACAAGTCACTGAAGAGAGAACTCTGAAGGGACAATAAACAATTGAAAAGGTATTCAACTATCAAGGAAATGGAAATTAAAACAACAAGATAATCATACTGCGGTCATCAAATTGTGTTGGTAAGAACCGAATGCTGGTGAGAACATAAAGCACCTCGCATTTTGATACACTGTGGATTGGAAAGTGATTTTTGGCAATATTTAATTCTGCTGAAGACAGGCATGTCCTACAATCCAGCAATTCCACTTCTAGATATGTATCTCAACGTCCATGCAGAATCAATCCAAAGGAGCTTATCTTACTCATGTTCATACAACTCACACTGTACTGTTAATAACGGACCTTCAATTTCAACTGACTTCTCAAAGATGACTGATATATCTTTTCTGATCAGTTTCTTTTCATTTTCTACAATGACTATCTCCTTTTTTCCCTTTGTTTCAAAATTGTGACGCTAAGAATCATCACTCTCATCTTCAGTCTAAAACATGTAACAATCATAAATAATTCTTTTGGCTGACAACTACAAATTTATTAGCAACTATTAATTTTCTCTTTCTCTCTCCTGGTAGAGTGAAAGAGGCAATACTCCTGTTTACAGACAATTTCTCCACCTGAGCTACAGATGCCATTTTTATCTCTTGAGAGTATCTTCAGCATTCCCTTCCTCTCAATTTTCTCTTCATCAATAATAAAACGTGTCTTTCTTTATTCAATCCCAGACTCTGTCTTCACTCAATTCCACTTCCCCTGTTTCTTTTTATAACTAAACAACTTGAAAGACTTATCTACACTCATTTTGTCTTTAGCTATTTTCACTTCCTCTTCACCTACAAATTAATCAACTGACTGTGCCTCTGAAGTTCCTTTTGCCAAGATCACTGATGAATCTGTTGTTGCAAGATCCTTTCCAAAATTTCACTTCTGTAGCATCACATTGTTTACCTTTCTTAAACTGCCTTTTGTGACTTTCAAGAAATGCCATAAGGTGGTTGGGGGAAGTTAGAAAATCAAATCTGGAATCAGACTTCATGTCATTTGTGTGCCCTTGGACAAGTTATTAACCTCTCTGTGCTTCAGTTTCCATACAAATAAAATGGGAATAAAAAACAGTAATTTATAGGGTTGTTATTGGGATTAAATGAATTACCATATGCAGTGCGGTAGGCTAAGTGGCAAAGGTAACAGCTGGTGCCCTAGTTTACATCTTACCCCCTTTGGTTAGCATACTTTCCAATGTTGTTTCCCTTTTCCTTACTTCTTTTTTTTCTTTTCTTTATTTACCTTGTAAATCAATGTGTCTCAAAGTACAGATTTTGAAAGTGAATCATTCTGCATATTTATTTTATATGCAAATTCTTGAACCTCTCTTCAGATTTACTAAATCTAAATCTTTGGATGATGGGAAAATCTCCTTTTTAAAATGTGTCCCAGATGACTTTGATGTAGACAAAGGTTTGAGAATCACTGATACTGGTGTTCCCAGGATCCTGTCCTGGAACTTCTCTCTTCACTCACCATGTTAGATAGATAATCGATTTCTTTAACTTCATAAGTAATCCAAATGATGATGATTCTCAAATTCTTTTATTGAGGTAAGACTGCGATCAATTCAGGTTTACATATCCAACTTGTTTTTATGTATCTTCACATGGACATTTCAGAGACATCTACACCTCATCACGTCAAGAGCTCAATCTATCATCAACCTCAACCAAAACCTGCCGCTGCTTCAGTGTGATCAGTCTCACTACTCAAGCCCAAAACGTGAAGTTAAGTTTTTATTTCCTGCCTCTTTCTCTTTACCCCATCCCCTCGTTAGCCACCAAGCCTTATTTATCCTAAATACCTCTTGAATCTACTCTGACTGACAACTCACTAGATCAAGAGATTAGCATATCTGAAGACCAGATTCAGTCAACAATCTCCTAAAGAGACTTAAACCAAACCGTATCTCTTGATTATCTGCCCAATTACATTCTCCATATTCCACCATGACTTTTATAAAACACAAATCTAACCATGCCATTCCTCCAAGTGAAAGCCGTCAATGGCTTACCACTACTCTCTGACAATAGCATAATTCCTAACTTCTATTTCGTCTTGATAATTTAGACTAACATTGTCTCTAAAGAGAACTAAAAAAGCTGGACAAAATATATTTAAAAATCTGCCTAAAGGCATCAAAGGGCTAAAAAGCCTAAAGAAATAAGAAATCCAAAGAAACGAGGCTAGTATTTGGAAGAATCCTAAATTGAAGGGAGCCTAGGTAAACTCTGAATCCCTGAAGAGCTATGTCCTGGGAGTAATGATACATCAAAAATAGACAAGTACTTTTGCAGGAACTGAAATCCAGTTTCCAACCATCTCAATCTCTCATTGGATTAACTTGATCTATAATTGAAAATCCTCAATAGACTTCTGCCAAGAACAAGTGAAAATCTTCTGTAGGGAAAATATCACTCTTAAAAATATGTTGCAAGTTTTACATTAGTTTTACAGCTATCAACAGCTCTCCAGACCTGTGGTTTTTGTGTCTGAGTTTGAATCACTGAAATGTTTATTAAATGAATGTGAAAAATACATTTTTTTCTGATAAGCAAAATAAATTACCTTCATCATTGTTATGGCAATATATCGAGCCTCTTTCACTATCATTGGTTCATATGAAACATCCAGCTTTGGTGATGCCAGCCCGCCAAAAGTCATGTCAGTATTAGAAGAAGGAGCTGTTACTGCGGGACTGCCAGGAATCCTCTGAGCTTTCTTTACCTGCTCTTGTTGTAAAGATGTTTTTTTCTGAGAAACAGGAACAGCTTTCACTTCCACCTAACCATGATATTAAAAAAACCAAATGCTATTATTACATAATTGTCCATGACACATCAAAAGAAGCAATTTATAATTATGAACTTATAATTCTATAAGTGTTGTCCCTCTTGAAAATTCTTTTCAAAGATTACTTGACAGTGCCATAATGATCAAGACGGTTCCACCTCAACACGGATCCTGAACACAGTGTAAAAGAGAGGCCTTGTTTTGTGGAATAAATAATTAGAGATATCAAAACACAAAATAAAAACAAATGTAACCATTAATAAAGTACAGAAGAGGATAGTAAAATGAATCAACATTCAATTCTTGCAGGGACTAACATTAAATTATTTTATCCAGTAATTCTAGTATAAATACTTTCCAGCAATCTCCACATGTTCTAAAGCACTATTCTCAATTTTAGCTATACTGTTCTGCAGAAGAAAAAGTACTCCACTGCTAGATGTCCTGGAAATTAACATAATAAAACAAACCTAATATTTAAAACTTAAAGATATTTACCTATTCTGCAGAAAGAGTACTATTAGACAGCTCTGTCACCAATATGTGTTACGAGATCTAAGCAATCCAATTAAACTTTCCAACTCTTTTTCTTCAACGATAAAATGGGAGTATCTTTTATCTACTCTACTACAGAGATGCAAAAGAACGCATTTCCTAAGGTATGTTAACGCACTGAAAATATACATTGTCTCACAAACAATACTCAGAAATACTTCCCAGGAATTATAACCAAACATCTTACTGTTATTTGTTTGCTTATGCATTGGCCAAAAAACACTTGCTCCTTAGGCAGCCACAAAATTACAAACAATTTAAATACCACTTTAGCTCTTGATCTCAGGTATCATCATTCTGAGATTCACTCTAAGTTTCTTCTGTCCTTTTCAGACACTACTTGTGGCTGGCAAGAACAGGCAATTCAACAATAAGATCTTCACAGAAATAGAAATGGTAGCATAAATGAAAGTGACAATATTACTTAAGTAATTGAGAGACATCCCAGAAATGTGACATGTCTTTAATGTTTATTGCTCTAATGCCATTCTAGGGAGTCAGTAACTTGAGACTCTCACTACCCACATAAAGTTAAGTAGAGTTAACAAATGCGTTCCACTAAATAACCACAAACTTTAGCTGGGGCTATGAGAGAACAGTCTTTGGATTAACATAATGCTCTAGAAATATTAAAAACCCATCTTACATTTAAAACACATAAGTTTAAAAATATATAGTAAAATTCTTCAACTCATATTCACTGCCACCATTAAAAATTTTAAACTTAAATGTAATAAAAAGAAAAAAAAGTAAATGCTTCCAAATTTTATGACATTTAATTTTAAATTATAGCCACTATTTTTATACACACTATTTTGATTTAATCTTTCTGTAAGCAACTATATTTATGCTAAGTAAATTAACATTGGAAGTACATGTACCTATATACTATGAACCTTTAAATAAGTGACTGAATAATTTTATACTCTAAGAATATTGAGATGTAAAATGATAACCATTCTGCTTTTATAAACTGTGCTTCTTTGTAAAATTTGTTCTTTTATTTTCTATGTGACTTTCTCTTTTCACAAAATAAGATTTCCTTCGAATAATCATTTTATAAGTTAAAAAAAAAAACCCGAAAAACACCCAAACCCTTGCTGCTATCAAAGTATCTTGGATCTCACTGAAATATTAGCTGCAAACTATCTTTAATGTTTCAAATAACTGGTTATTACTACATAAAGATACTTCAGTAATTTTTATAAGTTTAAAATGCTCCTAAACCTTCATGTGCTGTCTATCAGGAGGAAAATAAAACATTAAATTAATTTTGTTTTCGGCTAACGTGATAATGTGGTATTAATAAATTAAACATCAATATGTATGCAAATCACTTTTCCTAAATAGTGTTTACTAGAGTTTCCTAGATATGGCTTCTAAATTAGAGATAATTCTGATATGAACTTGAGCATACTGAGTAGTAACAGGTTTAGGGGGAAGGAGGACATGAAGCAAAATATATAGAAAAAAAGAGGAAGTAAAGAGAGAGAGAACTCATGCTGCTAAGACAAGAACTTAAAGAAGGAGGAGAACAAAAGATAAAGCATAAAGTCTGACTCTGAAATGTAAGATGTAAACAACCCAGATACCAAAACGGAGTAACAGACAACAAAAGGTGCAAAGGAGGAATCACAGGAAAATACAACTAAAGTTAAGCATAACAGCATGAACATTAAAAAGAAATGAAATGTTATGCTGACATGGAAAATGGTTATTACAATGTAGTCACGTGAATAAGGAACTTACTGTGAGCTCAAAGACTGGATTTAACAACTCACTATATACATGTAAGAGAGAAATTCATCAGTAAATACACAAACCCCTTAACATATTAATGAAAATTGTGGTCAAAATTCTATCTTTGGGTGGAGTCATTTTTTGTATCACTATCAGAATTATTTTCTTATCTATTCAATTTTTTTCTTATAGCTTGTGATGCTTTTTGCATTACATACAGTAATTATTAAGGGCATGGAATCACTTTGATGGAGTTTGATCGTCCTTAAAAAAGTAAGATAGAAGAGAAAATATGAGTGTGGCATATTGTATGAATATGTATTTTATATACTGAATGTAATTAAGAGCATATACTATTCTATCCTATATATGTATGTCTGCATCATGATATAAGTCCTTGCTGGTGGTGATGGCCAAAACCTTGAAAGGCACTGGTAAAGTTTGATTTTTGTTTAGTTATCAGGGTCAAACGCTTTTCCATACAGTTTTCCTTACTAGTTGTAAGACGTGAACTATATGTCTCTTGTCTTTTTTTTTTTTTTTCCACTATGAGTCAAGTAAGAAGTCATTGTACTTCCAGGGTATAAATCAAATAATGTACCAACTAATTGAAATAGTTCTATTAAATGCAATACTGAGGTAAAATCAGTACTTCTATGAGTAGAAAAGATTTTGTAGGTTAATCAACTCTAAGCCCCAAACAACCAAATCACTCTGTAATACAACTTAGGGTTAGGAGCGGCTGCGGATTGCCTATATAAATTTTCATTCAATATTGACTGTCTTTAGAAATATAATAAAAGTTTTAAATAAGATACTGAATTAATAGATTGTATCACAAAGGACTTAATTTTATGCATTATAATATGCTCTGAAATGTCACTATTAATTAATGTCTCAAGGAAGAGTTATCCAAAGAGCTATATTCTTCAATACAGCACATGGGTAGTTCCATTCATCATTCTTTACAATCCAAATGTATATATTTCTAATTTATTTAATAAGTAACAATATTATATTTTAAATGTTATTTCAATAGTACCAAATGCAAAATGTATTTGAGTCTTTAAAAAATATATATACAAAATTTTAAAATGTATTCTTTCACTGATTTATTCAATCTTTTATGTACTGATGGCCTTCCTCCCATGTGCTCAGCACTCTTTGTATGGATACTTCCTTATCCTTCCTTTGAATCACCAGAGCACCTAGCAAAATGTAAAAAACAAACTAAAAATGTATGCAACTTGGAAATTGACTAATGATTAATATGAACAAGTCATTTAAACAATTTTTCAGCTTCTTCCATTACATATATGTAAAGAGGGTACTGCAAATGGACTCTAAGCACTTGCCGTTTCTAAAATATTACTAGTTAGAACAGTCTGTGTATAGGTGTCTACTAATTTAATTCTGATATAATTACCTTCATATTGGGAACATGTACCACATCCCCATACTGGTCTTTTGTTTGAACAGTTATGGTAGTAGGCCAACCACAACGAATATCATCCTTATTCAGAATCAAAGATGTTTTCTGAGGATCAGCATAGGAATCTGGCTGAAGCCACCTAGAAGTAATGAAAAAAAACAAGCAAACAAAAAGCCAAACATTAATCAACATCTTCAATGATTAACATGAAATTAAGCTAAAAGAATAAAACTTCTATCAAACAAAATGCTAAGATGGTATCTTCATTTCCAATTCAGTGATAATGACCACAAGTGTCCCCCTTGGAAATTATTAATGACAAATTAATTAAAAAATATGCTGAAGCACATGAGATCTCTGATGATTACAAACAGAACAGAAATAATCTTAAAATCGGGAAATTTGAAACTTAACTATGGCTGATTCAAAATAACCAAGAAAATGAATTTAGGTCGTGGATACTTTGAAGTCCAAAATACACTCATCCTCACTGAGGGAGGTCTGCCTTACGGAGGTCTGCCAACCTGAAAACCTGGGAAAGAGCAGCCTCTCTGTCAAAACAGGGACAGAAGTGACATTCTGCTTGGTGGAGAGCAGGCAGGTTAAAGATACATCACCTATCTTCTCTTTCTTTAAACAGTTCCTTAATTATCTCCCTTCATTACTTTCCCTTCCATGTAATCTTACCAATTTTCTATGCTTTGTGATATCCATGCCTGAATTGCCTCCATAATCTACATTTAGGCTGTCCTATGAGATGAGTAATAAGTAACTCTGTCATGCTTTACATAAAAATGTCCACAAAGAAATCAGTGAGGCTGACTTAAAAGATTTTCTGTTCTTCTCCATCATGATTTTGGTTTTTAAAAACTACAGAGTAATCTCTGTATTTTTAAAATTAAAGCCAGAAAGAGTCTAGATTTCTATATTTCTAGTAAAGTCACACAAGCCAGCATATTTGTTCTTTTCATCATATAAAAAAAATACAGCAACAAAATAAATGAGAACTCTACAACCTCAAATGATCTGATTTAAACTCTAAACTTATATTTGCATTAATTGCAGATTTGAAAAAACTTCATATTGAAATAAAATATAGTGATAAATCTAAGAGTTTAGGATAGATATTAAATATTAATATCAGATACACAGACTTCTCAATTACACCATGTGTTCCACTTATTTTTAAATAAAAGCACCCAGAAAATATTAAAACAGTCAATTAACAACTATCATATATTTTTTAAATATTTTGAAATATTAACTACCATTTTATGTTTCAGCATGTCCAAAACACATAAACTAGAGCATTTTACGCAGCATTTTAACATCCTAATGATTCCCCTCTCATTCCTCTTCAGAATTGAAGACTGAGGCAAGCCCTGAGAGAAAGTCATTATAGTACTTGAAGAACATTACCTCGCAAGCCTTCCACCACTTGATCCTGGAACACAAGCAATAAAATCATCCAAAAAGGACTGCTCGTTGCTTTGGATTTGCAGTGGTAAGTTTCCTTCGAGCGCCTCCAATATAGTTGGTGAGTGAGAAAGAGCTAAACCCTTTCCAAGAATACCAGAATGGGTTTTGCACACCTGTTGGGTAAAAGAGAACATTTATATATTTTAAAATATAAAACTTTAATTACATGAAGTGTTTGAACTTGCACCCAATTTTAGATAGGTCTTCTGGGGGAGATCATTTTCTCCCCATGCCCCCAGTGCTCCTTCAGTCTATAAAGTAGAAAACCTGCGAAAAACATGAGATGACACTTCTAGTCTCTTTCCTCCGACAAAAATAAGTGATAAGTGATTAATCAGAGATCTGCCCGATAGATGCAATGGTACATCTCCTCCCACTCAAGCTCTCTACCTGGGTCACATCCTCATTTGTCAGGGCCAGGGCTCCCTTCTGTAGACAGATGCGGAAGGCTCCCTTTTTCCGTCCCCATTACAGGCAACTATCATGAGGAGGTTGTGTCTGCTCTCTTGGGCGACTGGGTATACCAAGGTCCTGACTTGGGCAAAAAGTGGCTGGAAGCCTGATTGTGGCTGCACATTAGCTTGTGTACGCCTTATTAAAGTTAAGGAAAAAAGGCAGGTAAAAGTGAAATTTTAGTTCTCACCTATATGACAAGCAAGCCTCAAATTTTGGAAAGACCTGCTTTAAGTGCTGAAACTTTATACATACTTTTAAATAACTGTATAATAAATACCAAAACAAAATATTTTTATAGAAAAGGATTATACTTCCAGTTCTATCAGGTCCTATAACAGTGACTTCTGCATTTTACAAGCTATCCAATTTAAAAATCAGGATCTTTCAAATCAAACAGACTTGAGTTCAGACCCTGATTTTGGACAAATTATTGCTGCCTGCTCTTGAGCTAACAAGTTACAGACCATTCCTGAATCAGCAAAATGTATAAACTGGTGATCAAATAATATCTCTCTTCTGTGATCATTAGAAAATTTAAATTGAATAACACATTTAAGTGCTCACTACACTGCCTAACAAGTAGTAGGGAATTAATATATGTCAGACCATGACAACAACTACCTTACATGCCAAAAAGGTGGGTAATTTGGGACTTTATTTTCTTTTTTCTTTAACAGCAGCACAATAAAGATCTCTTTATATGTGGCCTAAATGACATTCTGTAAGCCATAATAATCCTTGTAATGATAACATGAGCTACTTGATGGTTTTCTTTAACTGGAATGTTATCTGACATGTAACATGTTTATTTAATATTTGTTGAATTATTCTTTATTTTTGTATCTTGAGATACAGAGATTTAACTTTTTTATAAGAAAAAGACAGAAACAAAAGCTGGTGGGTTTTTGAAACACAGAAGTTTCTTAACAGCATCGAGGACACCATGGCTCCCTATGTTTAGAGCACAGTGATCAAGATCACAGACTTTGTCACCAAACTGCCAGAGATCAGTGCCTCACCTCCTTACCTATACATAGAGGTAAGAGTCTCTAATTCCTAGGGTTGTTGTGAGGACTAAATGCGTTAAAAATATGCAAAGTGTTTGGAATAGTAATTGAACAAGTTAAGATCAAATACACATTTGTTTTTATTATTACTGTCATGATCAATTCATTTCAGAAAATAAATAAAATATAAATTACTAGCTGTAGGTTTTAGAAGATCTGGATGCTAGCTGTTATCTCCCAATTAGCTGAATTCTTAGACGAATCACAAAACTTCTCTTAAGTTATTATAATTGTAAGATACAAGAGAAAATATTGACCTCACCTCAAAGTGTAATTCCAAAAACAGAGAATTAATGTCAAAGATACGGGAAACTATAAAGTGCTCTACAGATATTATTTAAATTACTACTATTAACACTTTTTCCCCTTCTTTCTAACTGGTAAATAAAACTTCTTTCAAGATCCACTTTCAATGTCCACAGCTCAGCAGAACCTTCCCTTGCACCCTTGGCACTTGGCAGCTGTTCTTCCTCCAGCAGGACTCATGTCTCACCCCAGCACATCCACCATGCAGCACAGCAAGGGTTTGCAGGGGTCTCTCCCAACAAGAGGAGAAATTATGATTTATTTATCTTTATAACTGCCAATTAGGAAATGAAATACTTAATGTTCAAGAAAAATAAGGTTGATCTGAAGGAACATACTGCTTAAAATTAATGTACAAAGTTTATCCTTATAGTTTTGAGGACAATACCTGTAATGCAGCCTCTTCAAGAATTTCAAGATCTTCCTCTAATTCATTACCTGTTGTGTAAATGAAAAATTTTACTAAAATATATCAATACTTAGTTTAACTTTCTAATCCTTTGCATTCATCACAATTTTTGCACAATTTTGATATTCCAAATTGAAGAGAACTATTATCACTCTGCATAAACCTCAGTGATTTAAATTTTAAAATGTTATTTTCAATGTGAATATAAGCTGTAATTCTCAAGGAAATATTCAAAAGCCATCCATCAAGTGATTTTCAAAAGACATATACTATATTTAAGTACATAAATGTGTATGTTTGAATTTAATGTAATTATATTTTTACCAAAAAGAAAAAAAAAAAAGAAAGAAGGAACCGATTATTCAGAATCTGTCTTTCTATTTTGGGTATCTTATAGAAGAGCTATTCCTTTAGTAAACAATAGTTACGTACAGAAAAACATAAGAAAATAACTGTATTCTTTAGCCATTTTCTCCTTTATTGCTTGATGTAGAACATATTTTATTTATTGAATTTTCTTTGATAATTTAATTAATTTTTAAAATACTACTACTAAAGTAATACATGTTCAAAGGGAAATATTCAAATTATACAGAAGTGTAGAATAAAAAATTCTGTCACCATCCCCTTTCAAAGATAGAGTGTCAACAGTTTCTTATGTATTAGTCTAGAAACATGTGCAAAAAATAAGTGTACATACATGTGTGTCAATATACATACACGTGCACACATACACATACATTTATACAAATATAAGATAATGTTCACAGAAAGGGCCCCACAGAAAAGGGACCCTCTTCTATAGCTTGCTTTTCTCAGTTAGTATAAGTTGGGTATCTTTCTTAGCCAGGACATAGAGGTTTAATTTTTTGTTGCTTTGTTGCTGTTTTTTAACAGCTACATACATTCCTATTGTATGTACCATTAATGGATGTACCATTACTTATAGAACCAGTTCCCCACTGACAGACATTTTGGTTGCTCTGGGTTTTACAATCACAAGCACTGCTATGTTAATCATATAACATATATTTTGGGGAAATCTGTTCAAGTATACATAAAAAATTGCTACAGCAAAGGTATATGCACATAAAATTTGAATAGTTGACAAATATCCTCCAAAAAGGTTGTATCAATTTTCTTCATATGAGTGGAATATAAATATCTCACCTCCTCATTTATGTATCAATGTTAAGTAGGAACAAAGGAACCGGGAAGGATGGAAGGCAGCAGGTAGAAAGAAGGGAACAGAGAAGGAAGAAAAGAGTAGAGAAAGAGAAGGGAAAAAAGAAAGAAGAAAGTGGGAAGGGTAGTCCCAGAGGGAGGAGATATAGATGGACATTTGTGGGTGAGAACTGGGGAAATGCAATAATAATGTCTTTTATTCTCAACTACTGTAAAAGTAAAAAATGTTCAATCATCTATAAAAATCATGAAATTTTTAACTTTATTTTCATCTTTTCCATTTTGATTATAAAGCAACTTATGTATCATATAATTTTGTATCACAAAAATAGGTATTCTTCTGCCACTGCCTCACTTCTGTTATGTGTCACATGAAAACTCTTCTAAACAGCTATCTAAATTCATTCTGAGTCTCCTTCCTGACTCTCCATTCTCTCACCTCACTCTAACAGTCCTTATATTTCTCTCGTTTTACTGATGTATTTCCTACTGAGTATATAAATAGCCAACACGTTTTTCAATCCAAAGACAAATTTTAATTTACTTCTCAGTTACATTAAAAAAGTCCCACCAATACCCACTCTCCTGAGGTTTCATATCTACCTCACTGGCCACTGCTTCACAGTCTTTAATGCAGCTTCTTCCTAGTTTTGACTTTGAAATTCTGGCAAGTCCCAGCTCTGATCCTTTGCTAACTTCTCTTTCTCATTTGCATTCTCTTCTCAGCTCATCTTTCATATGGTTCCGTGTCTATAAATGCAAACTATGTTCAAACGATATTTCTATTGACTTGTCCCCTGAGTTCCAGACAATGAGCATCTAGTTGTTTACTTGGTATGTTCACTAGGATATCTGAGAGATATCTCAGATTTCTGGTTTGATACTATATTTCTAGTGCTGAACTCAGGGTCTGGCAGATCACATGTATGTGCATACAGTGTTTGTATGAACTACAAAAAACTGGAGAGATACACTCTTCAGTCTCCATTAAAAATACCCAAACCACCAGTATATTAAGCAGTTATTGCTCATGAAGGTAAGTGACTACTGAACTCAATTCACTGATCTATTTTCAGAACGTCCTGTAAAAAATAAATTCTTCTTAAAAAGGTTTTTTAAAAATCATAAACAAACACCTAGTATGTGACCAGACTTACCAATAGGAAGTGCTAGATCCTTTTTCATCAAAGCTGCTGCACAAACCCCACCAAGATTGGCTAGTTCTTTTTCCAACTGAATGACTCCCTGGAGAATTGCAAAAACAAAATCAGATGCTTTAAAAAAATGGAAGATGAAATTTCTGAAAGATGATGTGGATTATCAAAAGAACGTGACTTGAATTCAAGCATAACTTTAGAAACTAAAAGGAAGCATGTGTTAGCTAATAGTTAATTAAGAGTGTAAGAGGGTCAATATTTTGTCTCATGCTGGTTTATAAGGCTCAGACCTTCAGTTAATTACCCAAAGAATTTTTCATTCATTACTTTGAAGGAAGATGATCATTTTTTCACCTTGACTTTTTTTATTGTATGATTTAAAACATGTAGAAGAGATATTAAATTAGTCCCATTGTGAAATCAGGTTCTATTATTTACTCAAAGAGCCACAGCCACCAAAGCAGATTTGGAACAGGCACAAGGGTCATGTTGCCTAGACTCCATTCTCTTTACATAGTAAAAGTAGCAAAAACAGACCACTACACAAAATTAAATTACAAAATATTTTAAATTATATACCACAGCTTGAAATAAATTTCAGACTTCTTGAATATAGAGAGCAAATACAATTTAAGACAACAGCAGCCCTTAGAAACACAATCTTCCTTAACACAATGAGAAGATAATTCATTCTCACCTCATCAGGTCCAGGGCTAAACTCATATCCAATTGCAAAACATTTGAAACCATAGAAAGAAGCTTTCTCATCTTTCACATAATCTGATGCAGTCTCCAATGAAAAAAGGGCCTCATTTCCTAAGAAAAAAGCTAACAATGAGTTCAAAATCTGAAACAACTTTATTAAAATTTTCCTAACTTTTATCCATCTCAAGAACGGTAGCAACACATATCAAGTACTAAAAAACTGAGTTGTTTGGGGGTTCCTATAACTGCTTTAACAAACCTGTGCTAAAAACAACACCAGAAGCAATAAAAACACTCCAAGTGAATTATTATTTTTCTTTATGATCAAATTCTCCTTAATCCAAAGTAAAATCATTTTCAGTTATCTGTCAATTATTGAGGCCTACATTATTAGCCTTTTCTATTCCAGAGTGAGTAATCCTCCATGCGGGAATCAGGTTTTCTCTATCTCTTCACAAACAAACAAGGCAGGTCAGACTAGAAGAAAGAGGTTTCTGAATTCAAATTGGCTATTAGTTTGAGAGATCACAGGAGTAGTTATGGTTAATTGGTTAAAAACACAACAGACTACAATAACAAAAGTGCTGTCTCCCTCCCTCCCTGCACCCCCCCCCCCCCCCCCGCCTTCCCAGGCCTGAAAACAACAGCTTTACAACTCAGTGCCTTAGGCGGTTTACCAGTTCTCTTGAAAGAAAGGAGTCCTTGGTAAGTTCTCAAAATTCAGCACTTATTGGGAAAATAAAAATCTTCCACTTTTTCTACGGTTTGGTTCCAACTATATAGACAGCCATTCTTCATTATTAACTCTCTGCTTTGGTTAAGCTAATCTTTTCTCAAAAGATCCTCAAAAAAACTCTCTTTTCTAAAACTCGGCCATGTTATGCCCCTTGCCCAGAGAGTCTTTACTATCCAATTGTAATCCAAATACTGTAGGTCTTGAAGAAATTCTAAAACTTAAATGTAGATTTTCAATGATATAACCTTACTGGACACAATTTTCATAAACACATATATTTTACCATATAAAATCGAAAAGAAAAAAATGACTTACCTGGTAACACTAAGACCATAGTAGGCCACCCAGAGGATCCGGAAAATTTCTTTAATTCTATCCAGGAATTAAGATTTTCATGAACAGATGTCAATTTTGGTCCATATCCTGAATTTTGCACAGTTCTAACAGGAATCAGCAAACGGAGGACATCTTCTGACTGTGCAGTACCACACTGGGGGTCAAACTCGATTGTCATCCACCGCACACACTCCGGGAATGTCACCTGAGGTCAGCAGGTAAGAGGACACTTGAATTTGTTAAGATGAATTAGATTTTAGTTTTCTGTCTGTTTCAGAAACAGGACATCATACTATAAAGATGATGCCTTCAACATACTGTAAAATAAATTTTAAATAAGTTAACAGACTAGTTTAAATATAATCAGAAATCAAGGTATTATTAATGGTCATTATCAATTGTCTCTACTTCCTACCTGAATATCTATTTCTTTCTACCTAAACTTGGTTAATATTGCAGTAATGTTTGTAAGAACACACTGATATCATTAGAAAAACAATTACAGAGCTGCTTAATTTTAACAAGTATTCAGTTACCTGATTTTCCTGTGGAAGAGTTAGTTATATAATAAATTTTCCATTTCAGTCTGCATGTATTTAAGGAATATAAGCAGGTAACTAACTATATAATTTCATAGGTAAAATACAAAGATACACTGACGTAAATGAATAGATCATTAAAAGGTAAGATTTTAGTCACTTTTAGGTTGCCTACCATCTACAATATCTGTTACAAATGCTTCTCCTCATTAGCAAAAAAATTTTGTAACTTCATATATTATGAGAATAAATATAAACACACATGTGCACATACACACTTGGTAGAAGTCTAGATTTTTATGTTTTCCTAACCTAAAATTTTGCTGTATATGTAAGTTCATTTTGGCACATAATTGTTTGTATTTTTAAGGCCAGTTTTAAGCTTTTGTCACCATCACAGTAGAAGGATTTCTGTAACGGTGGTCAAATTACAGTTAAGTAGGACCATGTCAAATAGTAAACTATAAATTGGTTGTAGCACATGATGTAAACCTTAAGAAATTTCCTAAGATTAATATTATTCTAAAAAATTATCTAGAACCTAGGCAAACATTTTTAGTAGAGCATTTTAAAACATCTCCATTTAAATTAAAAGCTCAACTTTGCTCAGATTAACGTAAATGTAAATTAAAACTAAATTGAGACCATTTCTCCCATTACATTGGCAAAAGGCTCAAAATTTAACCACATGCTCTGTTGGGGAGGCTGTGAGAAAATAAATGATCTCATATATTGTTGGTGGGGACACAAAATGGTATAATTTATGGAAGGGAATTTGTCAACATCTAGCAAAACAACATATGCATTCACCCTCTGAATCCGCAATCCCAGATCTACAGAGCACAAGGCTCCTTATTCTGTATTTGTTTAACCCAGCAATTTCACTTCTAGAAATTTACCTTGAAGATATGCTATAACAATGTGGAAACATATGCACAAAGTTATTCCCTGCAAAAAAAAAATATTGCAAAAAACTGAAAACACCCCACATGTTCACACATATAAGATGGGCTGAATAAACTATAATACATCTTCACAGTGGAGAACTGCAAAATTGTAAAAAAACAATGAAGATGATTTCTTTAAATGGATAGGGAGAGATTTCTATACATCACGTCAAATTTAAAAGGCAAAGTGCAAAATAGTATATATAGTGTGCTACATTTTTTGAATAAAGAAAGAAAATAGGACTACATCTAAATCAATGAATGAATGAATCAATCTTTCTGATTTTTTCCCAAAAGAACACAGGATGGATACAACAGGATACTTACTGGAGTAAGTGAGAAGCAGAGAAGGGAAAGGACTTGTAATTCTGAGAACATTATTTTGTATAATTTTATTTCTGGAGCCATTTTAATGTTTTACATATTTTAATAGTAAAATTATATCAAGAAGGATAGGAAAAAAACTCATATAAATTAAGTCTAAATAAACAAATAAGCTTAACTTGGTACCAACTGATCATATACCACCTACACATATACATAAAATGAACTACTCCAAGCCATTTCTGAATGAAGTAATTTGATTATATTAGTGTCAGTGGGATTAACTCCAAGGATAAATATTTTACAAAGAAATTCTTAATTTTACATAGTAGTTTTATACTCACAGTGGCATATATAAATGGAAATGGTATAAAGACTGAATAATGACAGCAAAGGATTATAACACTGAGCAAAAAGAGAATCTTTGAGTCTATATTGATACAAACATGTAAAATAAATAAACAAACAAACAAACATATACATACATATATAAATACATACACACATACATTTAAAGTGGAAGGAATGGGAAAACTCTCCTTTACAACAGAGCATTGGCTGGGTGGAGTAACAGAATTAGAAAGCCACCATTTTTCAACCACTATAGTAATAAATGATTTGGCTAAGAATAACCAATGGATGCTAAAATGTGTTCAGAGAATTTTTCACAGTCTCTAACCCATAGATATCTACCCATAGACATTTTCAAAGGAAAAATCAGGTGCTTTTTTGGTGGAGCTATGTCCTTAGTCAAGTGACTAAGTTCTTCCTAACAGGATGCACTAAGGAGAGAGAATACAATATCACTCATGTAGCGCTGCCCAAAATGCATAACCTGAATCTAATCATTAGAAAATGATCTATCAAATACAAATAAAAGGATTTTTTTTCACAAAACCACTGACTGAATTATTCCAAAATGCCAATGCACCATTTTAGATTAAAGGAGACAGAAGCTAACAACTAAATGCAATGTTTGAACCCAACTGGATCCCAGATCTAGGTTTTAAAAAAGGCTATGGATGCCATTGTTGGGACAAATGGCAAAAAAAACCATGATGTAATTACTCTTTTTACTGTGATAATAATACCATATCAATGTTAAATTCCCTACATTTGATGAGTGTATTGTGGTTATACAGAAAACTTCATTGACCTTAGGAACAAGGTGAGGGGTCGTGATGTTTTCACTTACTCCAAAATTGCCTAATAATAAATATAAATAAATAAATAAACATGGTAAAATGTTAAGTGATGAAGCTAAGTGAAGGGCATATGAGGGCGTTCATTGCACAAATCTTAACTACCTTTTTCTACAGGTTTGAAATATTTTGAAATAAAAAGTTGAAAAACATGAGGAATGAATATACACACACTTCTGCATCTGTTAATGTGTATCTATGCTTACATTAAAAGAAACAATGGAAGACTAAACTACAAAATTATAATAGTTTGAAAAGTTACCTGGGAAGAAAAAATGGCAGAGAGGAAGGGAACAGAGCGAGGGAACAGAGATAAAAGCTAGACTTCTTTGAATACACTTGGTTTTATAGATTTGACTTAAGACTGTGTAACTAAAATTATATCAAACAAGATTTAAAAAGTGATTCCTAAAAATCTAAAGTAAAACAAATGATGTCGAATGTACATCCAATTAGTAGCATAATCACACAGACAGGGATTATTCCAACTTACTTTAAAGCACAGCAATCGATCATATCCACTTACTTTAAAACACAGTCATTTCCCTATACATCCTAATTGGGCTATGTCCAAAAGATGAAAACACACACACACACAGAGCAAATGAATAACTGACTTTCTAATTCTATTATTCCCAGTGTCATTAAGAACAGAAATTCTAGCTGTATGAGGAAGGAGGTTCAGGTGTAACATCCTGTGGTCCTTATTTTAAATAAGCAGCAATCAGTACAAACTCATGAGGTATTTTATTTTAAAGAAAATACACATACACATAAATATGCCTATATATAAATATACACACATGTATTATACAAATAATATGCTTGTGTTTATAAATGCACATGTGTTTATGTGTGAGTATATGTGCTAGTTCTTTATACTATAAATATCTAGAAACAATGATCACCCAGGAGAAATGAACATTTCTGGTACCATATTTTGGCTTTTAAACACATTACCATTAAAAAGAACCATGGCATTTTGAAAAAATGGCTTATTTCAGATCTGAAGCAGGAAATGTATAAGCAAGCCTCTTTCTTATAACATCTTACACCAGAGCCTAGAACATCTTAGAACATCTTACACTAGAGAGCGAGGAAGCTATGAATGACTACAAAGAGTGTAAAGGGCTCAGGGGGCAAGCTGAAGTGGATCCTATCCAAAAAAGACACATGATCCAGTTTCTTAAATAAAATTCAATGAAACAAAAAAACAGAGAGATGGAGGAGAACCCATAGATTAAAAGAGACTTAAGAGACATAACCAATCACAATGCATGGAGCTTATCTGTATTCTAATTCAAACAATTTAAAATGTGCATTTGATGATATGAAGGAATTATCAGTCCTTTTAGTATGATAATAATATGGTTGTTTTTTTCAAGCAGGTCCTTATATTTTAGGACACATAATGAAATATCCACCAATGTGCTTTAAAACAATAAAGGAAGGGACAAAGCGGGTGGGGGAATAAATGAAACAGGTCTGACCAAGAGTTGATAACTGCTGAATCTGGGATGATGGATAAATGTAGTGAACTGCACTAGTTTGTCCTTTTGTATGTTTACCATATTCTACAGTGAAAAGTCGAGTATTTTATAAGCGCATAAAACTTAAACTTATAATTAAATTAAGTGGACACATTCTGTTCCTCCTTAATTTAAATGATACAATTTAGGAAGCAAAGAATAAGGATCATGAATACTCTAATAAAACATTATATTTATAAATATTTTATATGTACTTTTTTTACATTATGTATAGTATTTTGCATCCTACATTGGGAATATAAATTTTCAGAGCTCAGGCTGTGGTACAAATAATATCATTTCAAAAACTAGTTTTTAAATTATAATGCTTATATCCACTATTACAGTATACAATATGCAGCTGAGCATTATACACTGCACTGCACTTGTAAAAAGATATGAGAACTACTCTCATAAACTCTACAAAACCATACTCTTTAATAGTAAAAATTGTCTTAAACCTTTTTGTGTATCTGACACTAACCACCTGCTGATTCTCTATATGTAAATTCTATAAAAGTAGTTACACGTCTGAATGCAGGCAAAGTAACCTTTAAGACATGATTATGGAACATGAAACCAAGTTTTAAGTTTAAACCCTGCCCAGGAATCGGTGCCCACCTTGTAGTGCATCACACATGCAGGTTTATACGGGTGCTCGCTCTCTATGACAGCATAGTGATTAGAGGTTGTACAAGCAGAGAGGCCCTGTTCAGGCTGGTTTCCTGTGGTGCTGTCTGTTGACTGATTAGGATTGAATGCAGGGGGTGCATACTTCTGATTCAAAATGGCAACTGAAGGAAGCAACTGTTGGACAAGGCCAAAGACTTCTACAGCCACCTAGTACCAAACAAAAACAAAAACAAAACAAAAAAGAAAGGAAAAAAAAGATTAAATGAGATAATAAATGTGAAAGCTGCTTTAAAACTAATAATTGCTGTAACTGTTGGTTACCCTTATTATTAAGAATTTCTATCCAGAGTTTATTCTAGCTAAGTTTTTGTTCAAAGAGAAATTTGTTCTATGGGAAAAAAGATTTACCTCAGAAGTCTTAGACGTTATATGAAAATAACCTAGTCTATATTTTTAAACACTTTCGCCTTTTTGTGACCTGCAGTAAACTAGGTTGCACTCAAATTTAATTATGCCAAAGAATCAGTAGTTTACGATTTTTTCCATGTCTTGAATATTTCACAAGTTAAAAACAGTCCTATCCTTTTACCTTGTTGACTTTATTCAACATGAAGATTTGGCATCAACATCATAAATCTTAAAAATCTCAGTGAACTTAAGCTTTCCTTACATATCATATTCTAAAATATATTTGTAATTCCCAAATTCTTCAAATGCAAAGCCAATAAGCCAATAAGTACAGCAATCCAGTAAACAATACTAAAATCAGAGAGTTAGTTATTTAACTAGTAACTTCTACCATTCACATGTTTATCTGCTTGTTACCTGTAACCCAGGTGCCTCAAAGAGTAAAGTATTTTTAAAGGAAAGACACCAAGTCTAAAAAAATTATATTTACAAAAAAGATTCAAAGTTATAGAATGAAATCACACACCTTGGGAATTGCAGCAGCTACTGGTCCTATGTAGGCTATGATAAGGGGAAGCAGCATGGAAAACAGACTGGAAGAGCTGAGCAGCTCTGGAATGTCATCAGCTAAAAAAGGCATTAAAACCATAGTTAGAAGGTAATTTCATTGTGATGTATATACACTATACTAAATCTAGACTCTAGTTCCCTGAGCAAAATTATAGTTGACATTGACCGAGTGCTTATAAAGGACCTGGCACTATTCTAAGGGCTTTATTTACATCCATTACACCAATTAATCCTTATAGTGAGGTACTTATTTTATCACTACTTTTTAGAAGTGGAAACCAAGGCACACAGTGTTTAAGCACCTTATCCCAAATCATACACTTGTTAAATGACAGAGCCAGGATTAGAATCTAGAGGAACAGCCATGATTTCAAGCCATGACTACTCTTGGTGTCACACATAGCTATACGTGTGACATTAGGCAATTATATAAACTGTGTGTGCAAGTTACTCATCTGTAAAAGAGGACTAAATACTTCTCTCACTGGATGCTATGAAGACAGTGAGTTTATATACGTAAAATGCTTAAAATACTACATGCACATATTAAGTACTCTAAAAATGTTTGCTGTTATTAGCTATACTGCCTCCTAGTTCTCCAAGGAAAGCACTTTGCTGATGGACATTTTAATTATCTATCCATGAACATAGTACTGGGAAGATAAGTTGAGTTTAGACTATGAAGACCTTTATATTAAAGGCCAATTATTTCCAAATACTTATTTCCAGATCTGCCATTACATCAGAATAGGGTAGTTATGTTAAAAAAAACAAAAACAAAAACACCACCACCACACCTATCCAGCCTAAACCCCTAATTTGGATGAGCCAAATAGTCTTTATTTTCAGCAAGTTTCTCAGGTGACTTTGACGTGCAATTAGATTTAGGAACAAACATTATAAATAACAGCAATGTTTTTGTAAATGTAAGTCTGCTCCCAGTGTGGAGGATGACTAGATAACTAGATGGGGAGCGAGGGAAAGGTAGCAGGGAAATTATGAGGATGTTATCCACCCATGAAAAAGAGGACATGTGCTTGTGCCATGGCAGCCTCAGCTATGGGAGAACACAGAGAGAGGAGAATACAAACTGGAGAGTTTCCAGTGGAAGAACTCAGATACTCAATTTAAACAAGTGTATCTGGGGAGTTAATTAGGGTTATCCAGACCTTGGATGAATGATAATACTATTACTAGAAATGGAATACATATAGGAAGAAAAACAGGTCTAAAGGGGAAAACAAAATGTTTTTGACTACCAAAAGAACCAAAGATTCAGTTTAATCAAGAGTTTTTCTCTTAATGGGTTAACTAAGAAGACAATAATATACAGTAATTGCTTTTGAACACTCTTAAAAAACTTCTGCACTAGGATACAGAGAGCATGGCCGATCGTAGCTGCACACTACGAAAGTCTGTATGTGTGCAGACCTACAATGAATGAAACATTCTGGCTCTTCAGCACCTTTTTGCACAAGTTAGGGAATAAAGAATCTCAAATATGACTATTAAGAAGATGAAAGTCTTACCATCCACAGCAAGAGCTCTGTGCAAGAGGTCTTTTGCAGCTCGAACAACAGTGCTTACCACAGAGAGAGCCCTGCTACAGTTTTTATCTTCTTCATTGGCTTTACTCAGAAGTTGGGATTGCAAATCTCCATCAAATTCACTCCTATAATGTAACACATGAGATCATTTTACATGGTGGGTAAGACATGACTGAATTCTGGGAATCATATCTAGATCACAGTTCATTTAAAGTTAAAAAAGTAAATACACAACCTTATAACTTTAAGGAGCAACAGGACTTCAAAGAAACATAAAGCCAAATAAAGGCATAAAGTTATTTTAAATAGGATCACGAGGACTGTCTGAGGAACTGCTATTTAAACAAAGGCCTGATTTGTGTTAAGAAAGATCTGAGCTGAGAGAAAAGTATTAAGGCAAAAGGAACAGCAAGAGAGGTTCAGACAGGAACAAGACTGGTGAGTTCAAGGGACAGAATGAAGACATGTGTGACTGGAATGAAAGGAGAAAAGGTGGAGGGTGACAGGCTGGGCAAGGTCAACAGGAGTCAGATCACATGAGGTTCCCATGCCACAGTAAGGACTTAATGTTTTATACTGGAATGGGGGTGGGGAAGCTGTGCGGGGACTTGGAACAAAGGCAAACTTGGTATGATTTACAGTTTCAGAAGGTCACTCTGGCTGTGCTGTGGAGGACAGACCATAGCAGAGCAGCAGCGGAAGGAGGGAGACTGGTTTAGAGGCTGTTAAGGGAATCCAGGTAAGGGTGGTGATGATTTGGACTAGATTGCTAATTATGGGAGTACTAGAAAAGGTCAGACTTGGGACATTTTAAAAGTACAGCTGCCAGGACTTACTAATATAAAGCATGGGGTAAATAGGGATGTCAAGAATGACCCCAAGGTGTTCACTGTAACTGCAGATGAGGAGGAACCCTTCGGGTACCTTCCACTAAGATGTCTATTAGCCAATCTTAAAGAAGATGTGTGTGTGGTATAGTGGTTAAAGGTAGGTCATCTGAAGTCCCAATTTCCTGCCTAAAACTCCAGGACCATAATTTACTAGAAGTGTGACTTCAGGCAAGTTGTTAAACCACTCTGAGTCTCAGTTCCTTCATCTATAGAGCAGGGATAGGAACGCGCCCCGCCCACCTCATGGAGTTTCTGTGAGGACCAGCTGAGCTAACACAGGGAAACCACTGAGAATGCCGCAGGGCATACAGGAAGTGCTCAGTACACAGGAACGCTCATCACCATCTCCATTCCTGTCACTCAGATGAAGACGTCAGAGGGACCTGGATACTCATTCCAGGGCTCAGAGGAGACAGAATTAGCGATATAAACTTGGGAGCCATCAGAGTAGCATGGTTTTTAAAGTTAAGTAATTTTAATCTTTTTAAATTTAATTTAAATTTAAAGCTAAGGGTATTTAAACCTTGGTGGAAAATATCACAATACTGAAAATATTGTACTTTAATAAGATATAGTCTGGGTAGCAGATGCTTCTAAGGGGCTCTCCAGCTTTTCAAAATATGTAATTCTCTTTTTGGTTTTAAACCTATGGTTTGAGAAAGAGAATAATGTACTGCTTATTGTGGGGCTATGCAACAGAAAAGGTTTTTCACAGTTGGGGTAAAAGGACTAGAAAGCTTTTGTATCTCAGCAACAACATGCCACTGTGTAGCTGTTTAATGCCTATTATTTTTTTTTTTCAAAAACAGAAATTTGTCAGTTCTGGAAGTTTCAAGCTCAAAATCACAGTATTTGTAGGGTTGGTTCTTTCTAAGGGCTAATGCGTAGTATTTTTATTCTATTTTACATGAAGAAAGAAAGCAGATCATCTTCAGCTAAAGAAAAACTGTTTTGTACTGTCTAGGCATGTCTTCAGATTGTTTATGACAGAAACAGAGGAAGCAGCCAGTCTCTGAAAGTAATATGCAGCTTCAGTGATTTGATGTGAGGTCAGGTTGAGGACAAATGCGGTGAATGGTACTCACTACTATCTATGATTCCAGCTAAGTTGCTATAAGACAAAGAAATCAGACTCAGTGAGAAATGTGTATTTAAAAGTTTTTTTTAACTCAAAATTGTTATCATTCTTTATTTTCAACTGTTTTCATAAGGAATGGTTTTTGCTTTTTGATAAAAATATTATTAGAAGCAGATCACTATATATTGTAGGGCTCCAAGGACTAGATTCACAGACATCAAAATATTCTACAGACTTGATAACTGGATCAAGGTAACACCAGTATTTCAGCAGAGTTGATTTGATCATTAATTTTTGGTATTTTTAAAAAATAAATGAATAAATTCCATTTGAATTTGAAGCTGCAGACCACAAAACTATAAAGGTGACAATAAATAGCACATAAGCCCAGTATATAAATAAACATTTCAAAGATATTAAAGAGATAATGACAAAGAACATTTTAAAGTAAACACTGAATTTAATATATTAAAATGAGACCTTTTTATATGAATTAACACATGCAAGGAAGATACATTGTATAATTTAATTATCACTACCAGTTCAGCATTTTTCACCTTGGTAGTAAACTGTACACATTCTACCGCTTTAGAGGAGCTCCTTGATCTCCATAAACACACCTACCTGTAGTAGAGAATCTGCGGAATCTGTCCTCTGGTTTGGTTTGTGCCATTACTGCTCAGGCTGCACGTGCTGAATGTAAACGTCACGCCATCCGGGCACTGCACTGTGGTCATTCCTCCGTCTCCGTTGGCTGTGCGGCTTCCATAGTTCCTCAAGCGCACAGCATATTTAACATTTTCCTTTACAACAAAGATGTAAAGCATGTTTATATTTATTCATAATGTACAGAGGATATGTAAAATGAATTCTAGCAGCAAACTGGGCAAATACAGTTGACCCTTGAGCAACACAGGTTTGAACACGGGTTTACTTATACAGGATTTTTTCTGATAATAAGTACTACAGTACTATGCGATCCACACATGGGAAACCAGTGACAGGGAGGGACCATGTATACAAAGAGCTACATAATCAGATTTTCCACTGCAAGGAGAGTCAGTGCCCCAACCCCCACGTTGTTCACGGGTCAATTGTATACTGAATCTGTTATATTTATAGATGACTTGGTTAAATGAGTTTTAATGAATCAATGAGGGTGGTAATGAACTTATTGATGTTTATTACTTGACAGAAACTGTCCTAAATACTTTCCGTGATTTACTTTAATTAAATTATTCCCTAAAATGATCTCATAAGGTAAGTACCATTATTATCCCTATTTTACAGATGAGGAATCTGCAGCACTAGAAGATAAGTAACTTGTCCAAAGTCACACAGCTAATAAGTGATGAAACTAGGATTTGAATATAGGCAGTGTGACTCTAGTTCTTGCTCTTAATAACACTGTAAAGAATATCAGCCATAATAGAAGATTTTAAATACATAAACTAATTTTAAGAAAGACATTCAGAGACAGAAATAGATAGGCAGATAGAGATGGGGAAAAAAAATCCATTAAGAAAAAGTCATCCAAAATAGGATTCACTGTATACAGAAAACGTGAGACATAGGTACCAGCGCCTAATTATCCATGACAGAAACATCATAATGAAAGTGTTTTTGTCTTTGGGTATCATTTATGTTTTTGATGAAGTCACTGATGAACTTACCTCATCCAAAATTCTGCTGTATAATGAAAATTAATACAGCTGGATTCAGAATTACTCTATTCATTGTTGTTTTAGTGTTAAGTAAAATTTGTTTTGCTAGTTATTTACTACTAGACAAGTTATATAAAATAACAATAACTTTAATAATTAAAACTATCTGTTAAGACCAATTGTTTTTTAAATGAGTTTTAGGATAATAAAAGGAGAGACAGGAACTAATATCTAATAATTATTGAGTTTCTATATTGTGTTAGACATCGAGGCAAGTACTTTATTCCCTTACTTAATTTGCTCTGAACAACACTACAATGGAGGTATTTCTCCTTCCCAATCTAATGATAAGTCTTAGAGTGGTAGAATGATGACATAAATGTCCAACGTCTTAGAGCTAACATTTGGAAGAGCAGGTATCTGAAGCTAGTCTGTTTGGCTCCAAAGCCTAAGGATACTTTCTCTCTACTATACCAGACTTTAAGAGATCTTCTGCAAAACTAGAATATAATACAGTACAACATCAGCAATATAGTTTGTACTCTATGAACATTTAAAGATCATATAAAGGAACACTTCTCACTATTTTTAAAGTAAACTACATAATAATACACTCTATTTACAAAAGAAATATACTGTTAAAATTACCTTTAAAGGAACAACTTTGTCAAGTCTGATTTCAGCTATATCACTGGGTGAATCATCTGTTGTATAAGTTCCTTTGACTAATTCCAGAGACGTCCATCTGTGAGAATGAGTGGAATCCCCTGCATGTTCACTCTAATTAAAACAAAATAAAACAAAACCCACCATGCTCTTAATTTTGTGACATGAACAATTCTGACTTATAATCAGTTATTGTTTTTAAGCAGTTATTTCCTTGCATATAAAATTATCCACTGGCATTTCCCCATACACACTGAAGAAAACATTTTTCGTTCTCTAAACTATTCATTTTTATCTGATTTTCTGAGAAGTCCACAACTTAAATCATATAAACAGACTTTCCTCACCTGTCTTAAAATGATTCTCCCTTCTTCATAAGAATGCTATATTTAATTATAGAGCCTAATAAAGATGGGAAATAATTAATTTAAACTAATTGCTCAAAGAATCAAGATACAGCTAGATTGTTATTTATTAGCAAATGATTTACACATTACCTCTTTGTCTCATTTTAATAAAACCTTGTGAAAACTCACGGACTTTAAACAATGTGTAGGGGGGTAGGATATGTCTCAAGCACTAGAGCACATGCTTAGCATGCACGAGGTCCTGGGTTCAATCCCCAGCACCTCCTCTAAAAACAAATAAATAAATAAACTTAATTATCTACCCCCTCCAAACAAAAAAACTAAAAAATAAAGTAAAACAATTTGTAGAGAATATAGAAAGATACAGCTGTATCAATCAACAAAATATCACTTCTACTAAGAATCATCCATTAGCACTCTGACAAAACTGCTTAATCATTGATACAGGTAATATCAGTCTAAATATTGTTCTTATTTCTTGAAATATTACAATAGCAAAAAAATTACTCAAGATTTATAATCATAGGTTTAGCTATATAATTTCTAGTTTGTTCATTTAAAATCTTCCCTGGAAATACAAAAAATATGAGGCAGGAGTGATCCAAAATGGCACACAAGCAACCATTTAGAATTGCTCCCTTTCAATTTCTCTAATGTCGTCCATCTATGACTAATCTGTTAAACCCTCAAAGATGTGAACCATCGTCTTTGGATAATGATGATCTGTCCTGACACACAACTCACACAGCAAGATGAACACTGTAAGAGTGGTACTTACATCATCAACCAACACTTCTAATTCATATTCATGAATTCCACCTCCTCCATAGACCGAAAAACCAACGACAACTATTCCAGGTTTGTCTACTGAAAAACAGATTGCATCTGGGGACCCATTCCCAGTATTCCAACTTCTCCCCTGACTTGTTTTTGTGAATCGGTTAGCACTGGCTTTAACGGAGTGGAGAGAATTAAGTCCATCAATCTATAAAGAACAAAAACAATTCTGAGCATTAATAATATATCCCTAACAAAACTGTCCAAAAGTTTCTAAGATCATCCACAAAATAACCTACCTTTAAGAAGTGGGTTTAAACCTTCCTAACGGCATAGTCCAGTAAGAGATTAACCAAGAATAAAATCTAATCTTACTATTTTAAATTCACAAATCAATATCACATGACAGTATTTTTAATCATATTACACTATACATTTCACATAATTTATGTCAGAACTATAACCTGATTAAGTTATCACAGTCATAATATATGAATTATCACTCACTTTGCAAAGAGATACCAAAAATTTCATCAATATCTTACAGACCAATTGTTTCCAAACCATGCTGCAGAGAACTCCAGGAATTCTGGACACATAGACTCAAGGTTCCCCTCTTCAGTCAGACCATCCCTTCTTTCATCTGGGAGTTTTCAAGTTAAGACTGCATTGCAAAAAGTGTTCTGGGCCCTAAGTTTGAATACCACGAATGTATATTATGATAACTTGGCAGTCAATATTTGAAAAAAAATATATACACAAATACACACACAACCTCATTAATTATAGACTGATTAGACAGGATCAGAGCACTGATTTTGGTTGGAAACCACTCTTCTAAATTATAGAGCCCACTTCTGATCTAAGCTGGATGCAGAAGTTAGGAAGATCTACAAGAGGTGAAAAATGGAAATTTATGATTCTAGCAAGAATTACAAACTCATCTGGGAAAGAAAGAAATACAGATGTCTAAATCAGGACCTTTAGACACTCCCAAGATTATATATTAGGCACCTGAAATTGTGGGCATTCCTTTTCATTAGAAAAATAAGTTCAGAGCTAGATAGTAACCTTCTGGGGGGGACCTATGCATTATAGACTTTTTTCTCCAGAATCTAGTACAGAAAGAAAACATACTATAAGCTGACTGAATACATGAAAAAAAATTAAAATGTTCTGACAAGGGCTTCAGGGACCTCCTAGGCCAGGATGAGATGCTAAAATCTGCTCAGGTGCATGTGTAATTATTCAGAAATCCTAAGGCTAAACTCTCACTATGAATCAGTAGTATGTAGGCTGAATTTAATTTAAAATAGCTTCTGAAGTAAAACTTTAAGTAACAAAAAGCAAAGAATAGGAATTACTGAACGGAAATAGAAAAAAAGATGTTCTTGGGAAAGAAAGGAGAGATCTGGGCCACTGAGAACAAGCTGGTTATTAAACATTAATTTGAATGATAAAGGTATTTCACATTATGACATGATCTTCACAACCAATCTACACCCATTTTTAGGAAAAAAATAGGAACATTCACCAAATTCAGTCAAATGTTTAGATAAATTATAAAACAGAGTGAGCAGGGTAATGAAAGTGAAAAATAATTACAAAAATGTAAAGGCACTTTAAAATGTTTCAAAGTGGGTTTCTTAAACGTATTAATACTTGATCCTTTAAAAACTTAAACCTGTGACAATGGCTGTTCAACAATGTGGGTGTACTTAATGCCACTGAACTGTACACATAAATATGGTTAGAATGGTAAATTTTATGTTATCTAACTCATACAACTAAAAATAACTTTGTGATATAGGTGAGATAAAAATTATTATTCCCATTTTATATATGTGTTTGTCTAGAGTCAATTAAGTGAGCAAAGCTAAGATCTGAACTTCTACCTTTTCCACACCATGTGTTCATTATTAGCAATCCTACTTTATTACCCAGCAATACAAACTATTTTTGCTTTTATCAGGACGTGGTGGTGGGTTGTGCGATGGGGCAGTTAAGAGGAAGATGTGTACTTTGTTTTAGTGCAACAATCTGGGTAAACTGACGAGAAAGAAGAAGCAAATAAGAACAGAGAAGAGCTATAAGGAAGAGAGAAAAAAAAAAGTCTAGCTTGAAGGTCTTTTGTCTGGGGAAAAAAAGCAAATAAAACAAAACAAAACAAAACAAAACCCCACAGTAGGACTGAAATTAGTTTCTACAAAGCCAAAATATATGAATAAAGAAACAATGTGGAAAGCTTAAACATGTGCTAATGATCCAGTATGAAAATGTAACATCACCTCAGACCCCAGGGCCGACGCCGTCAGCTCGCTGACAATGCTGGCCAGTAACCCGCAGGTGTTGGAGACCAGGTGGGAGGAGAAGAGCTCATGTTCTCTCCGCAGGCTGTTCCTGACTGGGAGCACGACAATGACCAGCATCTTCTCCAGAACTTCTCGGAAGCTCGTCATCCCCGAGATATTCTCTTCATTCTATGACACATGAAAAGAAAAACCTCTAAGATACCATTTTATTTTCCTTCACGTAAGTACTCAACAGCAAAATCTTACCTTTCTAGATGACACCTTTAAAATTCAGACTTGAGCCTGTGCTGTATATCTATCCACGTATATCTTGTATGTGGAGAATCGACTTTTCACTTAGAAGTTCTTTTTTAAGTTATTAGTCTCTGCGTAGCAAAAATGTACTACACATTCACAAGGTGTCTGTGTTTTTATTAACCCTGAGTCTTTTTATTTACTCTCTTATGTAACTTTTCAATAACAATTGTGTATAGCAGGAAAAAAAGCTCTATTTAAAAAGCTTTTTCTATAAAACAAGATTCAAAACAGATAATTATTTCTGGTATTTTTTTTAAAAGCAAAGCAACTGAGAAATAGTCAATACAAATCTATTTTCCAATAAAATTCTTTCTGGTCATGGATGTAATAAAAAAATGGAATTCTATAACACATATTCCTGTGCAGTTTTACAATTCCTATTGTACTTGGTTTCATAAGTGAAGATAAGAAATTCCAACCCCTATCAATAAAAAACTTTCAAGATAAGAAATTACAGAGTCCCATTAAAGACCAATGGGAAAATACTTTTTTTTCCAGACAAAAAAAGGGAAAGATAAGTAATTTAATTGATACTCAGTACAAACATTATTTATCTCTTTTACTATCCTTGATATTGTTTGGCCCCCTGTGAACAGAGGGAAAGAGTCATTCAATTTTATCAAGGGGTCAGTTGTGACAATGACCCTTTCAGCTGTCCTGTGGACTAGGGAATCAACAATTTGAGATCCAGTTTCAGTTTTTCCAGAGTGCTTCAACCTCATATGTAAAATCAGGGGAACCATTTGCTATGATTATGTTATCAAAAACACGTTGCTGCCCCCCGAGCAAGCAAGTTCTTTCACAATTCTTACATTCAATATTGCATCACAAGACACTGTAAATTCAACAGATTTCATAAGGTCATAAAATTTCACACCGAAAAAAAGGTCTTAAAGTTAAATCATTCCTCCCAAGACAAATCAAATCTGTAAATCAGTGTACTTACAATCCATTAGAAAAAAATTGAGTAACTTTTCAATTAAAATCATCGTGAGTGTTGTTATAAATCACTCTCAACAATGTGTACAATCTTTCATACTTTCTTAATGTCCAATCTTAGGCTGAAAATAAAAGTCACTTGGAGATAATCTTTCACCTTTAAGTTATTTCTACTATCTTTGAATAATATTGCCATAACATTTAGGTCAATATCTTATGTAATTAGTTTTCCTGGCTTTAAAATAATCAATTCTTAATTGTGTAAAAATTACAATTCTTTTATCCCTTATATCACTTTCATTCTCCAGAAACTTTACTTTTTGGAACATCTCAGAAAATTAGCTTTGGTTGAAACTCTATCTCCAACTGTACTCCATAATCAGTAATCTGGAAGGGCTTTATTTGGGAAGTAAAGCGTGGGGGATGGGTGGTATATTTATTTAGTAATGTCCACTTAGTTTCTAATTAATAATTAACAAGATTAATACAAGAAACTTCACATAAAATCTTAAAATGAAGTTGAGTGTCAATGTGTTTTAGTTGGAGGACCAAAAAATAAATATGTGTGTGTGTGTGTGTAAAAGCACATTACTGGCCACTAAAATTTTAGAAAAAGGAACTCTTCTTCACTAGTAGTGGGGAATGCAAGCTGACACGAGCCTTCTGGAGGGCATTTTGGCAATTTTTGGTCAAGTCTTAACCAAATTTCCTTTGACTTTAGAATTTTTCCACTCCTGAAGATTTATTCTGGAAAAATCATCATGTATACGCAAAAAAATTTAGTAAACGATATTTTCAGCACCATTCTTTAAAGTACTAAAATCCTGGGAAAAATCTGCATATATGTATATATGTGTGTAATCTTCCATCCACCTATATTTTATATGTATATAAAAAAGACTAATTGACTAAATTATGCTACACCCAAATGGTATAATTATACATTGTCCATTAAAAAGAGGGTAGAAGAATATACACTAACCAGGATATATCTTCACAGAATGTTAATACAGACACACAAATATATAACTATTAATTTAAATAATTACCAAATATTAATTCTCAAAAATGATTTTTAATATTTAAGAATTTATTTTTCCTAATTTTTTACATATAAATTGATATCTGAATAGAACTTTCATCCACATTTAATTACTAGTAAGGCTGAAATTTTTCCCATGCTGGCTTATTCTCTAAAGTCCTTCTTAAATTTATTGTTATGATTTCTGCTGGGATCCTACGAAGATATATTAACTCTGAAAATTGTATTCCTTTTCCACTATTGTCTTTTTTTGTATCTATATGTCATTGAAATTTTTCTCAGAATTTTTCTATTGCTTCAGTCAACAGAAAATTGCTACTGTATAATAATTAGGATAACTTCTATTTTCTATTCCTTTTTTTGCTTTTATTTTAAAGATTACTCCTCATTAACTTGGTAGTAATTATATATGAATTTCATATGTATTTAAGTTAATTTTTCTCCATAGTGTTTTCTAAAAAATCAGAAGCAGTTACTAAAGAATGTTCTCTATGACTATTGTTTCATAGTGCTTACTCTAATATACCAAAATGTTACAGGAAAAAAGTTTTAAAAATTATTTATTTTTCCAAAATTCTATCTTGGCAATCTAAAATACAGTATTAGAATATAAAAGTTTGCTCATAGTATCTGCAACTTTTACATGGTACAGCAAAACACAAAAATACAGGAATTCATTACATAACTCTCTCAAGTTTTTTATAGATTAAGGATCTATCAAAATTAAAAATTAGAGAAAAAAGATTGTTCACTTATAGGTAAACATGAGAAAATTTTTTTCTTAAGTTTAGTTCTTCTTATAAAACTCATAATTGTTTGGTAAATATACTTACTGATACAGAAGAAAAAGCACCAAGATAAATATGTCTCCAATTATGGTTTTATTGTTTCAATATAAAAGATTTTTCAGGAGACTCACCTGGCTGAGTTTTTCCATATGTGCCACCAAAAGGGGAAAGCGGTGAACCAGTGTTGAGTCATTCTCTGTGCTAACTTGTTTGACAATTGATCGCAGTAGTACTTCTCCATCATACGCAATAGGGAAGATAGAAGTCAGCTTAACAGAGGTGTGACACAGAGCTGACATCACAGCTGCAAGGAGTCGGCTACTTGATGTCTTGAAGTTTGCCTCCTGGATATCCTTTTAAAAACAAAAATATGCACCCCACCAAAGAAATACTGCATCAGTATAACCCAAGTTTCTGGATATATAAAAGGTACACAACCTTTTAAGTCATACACAAATCTTCTAGCACTCAGTTACTGGTAATGATTGTCTTGTTATAAGATAGTATTATATCACTGACTATAATCCAATTAAAAAAAAGTATTATATCAACACTTTTAAACACAATTGTTTAAGTTACCACCCAATGAAGCTGGTAAATTATTAAATATGGTCAAGGAAAATCAGCTTCCTGTACTCTTTATGTGTTTTCATATCCTCAGACTCACATTCTTTTCTAGCACTATTCTCCAAGAAAGGTATCAAAAAGGCCCCAATTACTATATATCAAAGTCACTTCCAGTGATAAGCACTAATAAATAAATGATTTAAATTGTAATCTGTGCTACTATGACATTTTTTCAGGTCAATGTAGCATAATGTTATTATGCTACTATAGTAACATTTTACTAAGGTCACAAAATTGTCATCACATCATACAGTTTATCTTGTGCCTTGTTCCCAAACTTAGAGGAACAATCAGTATTTCACCATAAGTATGTTAGCTGTAGATGTTTCTGGTAGGTATCCTTTATCAGATTGAGAAAGTTTCCTTAAGTCCTAGTTTGCTGAGTTTTCATTACTAAGTACTAATTTTATCAGATGCTTTTTCTACATCTATTGAAAGGAAATACAGTTGTAGTATCAATTCAAATATCAATTACATTGGGGAAGAGGGTATAGTTCAGTGGTAGAGAATGTGCCTAGCAAGCGCAAGGTCCTGGGTTCAATCCCCAGTCCCTTCATTAAAAATAAGTACATAAATAAAAACCCTATTACCTCATTTCTCCTAAGAATAAAATAACAATAAACAAATATCAATTACATTGATCTTAAGGGTTAAACTAACCTTGCACTTCTAAGATAAACTCCACTTGGTATATAATACACTTTTTAATATTGTTGGATTTGATTTGATAATATTGTCCAGAACTTCTGCATCTCTCTTTCTGGGTAATATTTGTCTGTAATAATTTTTTCTTTTAATATCTATCAGATTTTGGTATCAGGATAAGGCTAATGATAAATTAAGTTGGAAAGTGTTGTCGCCTGTATTTTCTGAAAGAGGCTGTAAAAGATTGATATCACTTCTTTCTTATATGTTTAACAGAATTCACCAATGACAGTATCTGGGTCTGGAGTTTTCTTTGTAGCAAAGTTTTTGATAATGAATTCAATTGTTTTAGTGGATATGATAGGGTCATTCAGATTTTTCTATTCCTTGTGCCACTTTTGGTTAGGCTGTATTTTTCACGAAATTTGTCTACTTCATCTAAAGTTATAATTTATTGGTATAAAGTTGTTCATAAAGTTCCCTTATTATCATTTTAATATCTGTAGGATCTAAAGTGATATTCCTTAATGGTATTTTATGTTTTTTCTTGCTCTCTTCCACCTCAATCAGACTTGCTAGAAGTTTTAAAATTTTGTTTTATTTTCAGAGAACCAATTTTTGACTTCATTAATTTTCTCTTTTTTCTAGTTCATTGATTTCTTCTCTTATATTTATTATTTCCTTCCCTTATCTTTATGACTTTCTTATTACTTTGGATTTGATTTGCTCTTCTTTCTGGCTTCTTAAGGTAGAAACCTAGATCGCCAATTTTAAACCATTCTTCTTTGTCAGTATAACCATTTAAAAGTCTGAATTTTTCTCTAAGCAACACATTAGCAACTTCTCACCTATTTTGGTATGTTATATTTTATCTTCAGTGTAAAAAATTTCTAATTTCCTTTGGATTTCTTCTTTGATTCACTGTTTACTCAGAAGAGTTTATTTTCCAAATATTTGGTGTTTTCCTTGATATATGTTGCTATTAATTTCTAATTTAATTCTATTGAGGTCCAAAAAAACTTTAAGATTTTTATCGTGTGAAATTTACTAAGACTCATTTTATGGCCCAGCATCTGATCTACCTTTGTGAACGTCACATGTATACCTGACAAGAGTATGGATACTGCGCTTGCACATTTCGTTCTATAAATGCCAGTGAGGCCAAGGTGGTGGACAGTGTTGTTCAAATCTTCTGTATCCTGACCGATTCTTTCTGTCTAGCTGTTCTACCAATTACCGAAAAGAGGAGCACTGAAGTCCCCAACTGTCAACACTATCAATATGAATTTGTCTACTTCTCCCTTTAGTTCTGTCAGTATTTTGTGCAGATGTTTTGAAACTGTGATTTGGGGCATACACATTTATGAGGGTTGCAGTTTCCTGGTGAGTGAATGCATGATGTCAGCATGCAAATTCATTCACAGCTCTCTCTCCTGCCTGTGCTGCAGATATGGGAGTGGCAGGGGCTACCACGAACTGTCCTTGCTCTCAGACACTCACTCACTATTGTTCTTTCCTTCTCTTATACACACACACACACACACACACACACACACACTCATACAGACTCAAAGAGCAACCCAGCAGCTGCACAATGTGCCTGCCAATTTTATAACTAAGAAATGATACAGCAAACAGAAAAAAAAAATTTAACTTTGATTATTTAAGTCACATACACCAAACTGATTTCTTAATTCATCTTTTATAAAACTTAGGAAATTCAGGCAACTGTAGTATATTTTCTTGAAGATTATTAAGTAATAGTCATATTTTCAACTAACATTTTTCAAATTTAAATTACCTGATCCAAACAATTCAGCAGATCACAAAGGCAAGCCCACTGTAAGGCAGGAGTTGGGTAGAAAGAATGAAAACAGGCAGTAAAGGTATTGTGACACTCCTGAAGGACAGCTTCTAGGAGACTCAAGGGTTGACTGAGATATCCCTGGGGATCATTATCCAGCTTCACCATGCAGTGATCAACTCCTTCCGACAAAATTTTTCTTAACAAGGTTCTGGTTTTTCCAATACATTCTGCTAACTTGCTAGTTTCTTCTACAACTGCTTTTCCTGTAGCTTTAAGAGAACAAAATAGATTGTTAATTAAATCGAATAATAAATATGTATGAAAACAGTCAATATAATTCAAGTAATTTCCTATATGGCTAAAAATCTTAAGTACTCATAATCTAGAAATGAAACAATACAGAGATTATGTGTGGTTCAAAGTTATTTCTTTTTAAAATCTAAATTGGAAAAAAAAACCCCCACTGGTTTCAGCATTTAAGTCCAAATCATGTGTTCAAAATACTTCTATTTGTCTGAATATGTTTAAAATGACACTTTACTAGAGTACTTAATGTTAGCCTAACATGACATTTTGTTATCATAATGACATGCAATCTACTGTATTCTTTGTATATAAATATATAAGCATCACAGCAAGCTGACTTTCTCCCCTTAAGTCAGAAGCAGGTTAAATAAAGGCAGCTGGGGATCTTAAGCTCCTGGTAATCCTTACACAAACTTTCTCAATGTCTCAAATATTTTCTCCCTAAAGTCATTTAAAAAATGCATCATACCTGACACTGGGTAAATTTCACAGGTATAGACACGCAATAACCTCAGACAACAGGTACCCACAAAGCGCAGTCTCTCTAAATCTAGAAGCGTAGCTGTAAACTGGAATCCTTTCAATCCCCTAAGCTCTTCAACGCCCAAGACCAAGGTGGTCCAGCTCCAGTGAAGAATACTCAACAATGACTCAAAACATTCCTAAACCAGAATATAAAAAATAGATAACAATTAGTTCAAATGATACCATAGGCTGAATCAAATAGAAAAATGACATTCTACTTCAAAAGTTCATCTGAGTTCTGGTAGCCCAAATAACAGACATTCTATTAGTTCATTCATTAAATTACAATAAGGAGTATCTTTGAAGCTTGACAAAAAAGGTAGTTAGGCATCTTCCGAAACAGTATTCTTCAATATTTACCTATTTACGATACATTTTTAAAGTTTCTCTGTTATCAACCTATCTAGTTTATCACATAAATAAAGGCAATAATAAAAAATACTTATGAATACACGTTTATCTTTAAAGAAAAATTAAACACTATATCATAAATGTATTATGTATATAAACCAAAAATATTTTAAACACTTCAATAATTTTTGAATATGATAAAGTATTTTAGTATTAGATATCAGTGACAGTAACAGATAACTTACTTTATGTCTACATATTTAATTTTATAATACAAGCTACAGCCAAATCTTGATAAGCAATTTAGAAGATAAAAATTGAATAGAAAATACTGAAAAATTATTATTTGAATTTTCAAAGATTCTGGAATACGAGTTTAGGATGGTGAACATCCCATGCTGTGATAGTTGGCCTGTTGGTTTTGCCATGCTTACATGATGATAGATACTAGTCGAAACTCAAAGCCAAGCACTTTTCCCCTCATATCCAGCAAATTCCAGTCCTCTGGTTATAGCAATACCAAGAATAAGAGTTTAATTTAACTTTTTAAAGAAATGATTGAATAAGTTTCTTACATAAAGACTACAATAACCCAATGACCACAAAACCACTTAGACATAAATATAAGAGAGTAACTATGCACAGAAAAAAAAATAGATCACTGAAAAAGACACAACAGAGGCAAAGATACTTATTGGGTTCAAAAGATACCAAACTGATCTTAACACTAAAAGGATGCCAAGGTACCAAGGAGTCAAAGCTTGTAGAGTCTCTTACGCAAAGCGTATTCTGTTGGAAGATCAATTTGACATGACGCATCAAAATTTACATGATCCTACATCCAGCAGAAATATGCATGGAAGTACATAAGTATCAAAGACACATATATATGTATATAGATATATAGCTGATCCTTTGTATTCAGTTTTCCCATCTATGGATTTAACCAACCAAGGATCAAAAATATTTGCAAAAGAAAAAAATTCCAGAAAGTTCCAAAAAGCAAAACTTGAATGAATGGCATGCCAGTAACTATTTACATAGCATGTACACTGTACTTACAACTATTTACATAGTATTTACATTGTATTGGTTATTATAAGCAAGTTGGAGATGATTTAAAGTATATGGGAAGATGTGTGTAGGTTATATGTAGATACTACAGCATTTTATATAATGGACTTAAGCATTTTGGTATCTGTAAGGGGTCCTGGAACCAATCCCCCTGTGGATATCAAGGGATGACTGTAATAGCAAAATATGAGAAACAAAGAATCCTTTGATAGGAATAGACTTGGATAAATTAAGAGTACAACCATTCTGTGGGATACCAATGCCAAATGTACTAACATGGAGTATGTCTGCAGTACATTTGATAAAATTTATAAAAAGGAGATGCAGAACTTAAAGCATGATCAAAAACAAACAATTAGGTTGTATAGCATAAAGTAAACAGAGACTAATAAATTAGTTTATGTAAAAAAATTAGTTTGGAAAGATATATATCAAAATGTAAATAGTAGTTATATACAGTACAACAGGGTGATAGAAAAAGACCTTTAACATAATTTTAGTATAGTTTTAACCCTAATCCACCCTATTCCCACCAGGGACATGTATTAATTATGTGATTTTAAAAAACTAATTTAAAAAGGGGGAAAAAAGGCATTCTCCCTATGCATTTTACCAACATGACAGACTACCAGCTACACTGATAAATCAATTCACATAGTGCCTTACAATTTAAAAAGAATTTTTATATACCATCTCATTAGAAATTCATAATGATGCTATGATGTAGTTTATTTTGATAACCTGCGTAAGAATTTTCAACTAATAAAGGAAAGAATAAGAACTTAACTCTCCTGAGCTAAAACACCATGGTATTTCAGTTACATCTTGGTGGCCTTCCATTCTACACTGGTAACCCCAATAGCACCATGTCTTTAACTGTAGAATGGGGAAGGTCAAGCAGTTCAACAAAGTCCCTAGTTAGATATGTGACACTTCTACTTAGTTCTTCAGGATTAAAGTAACTTTCTTGTTAACATCACTCTTAACGTTTCCTTCATTTTCTAACTCCCTCAGCACATGTATTTATACATGATTTAGAAGAAAATCCACCATTTATTTCAGAAATATCAAGTCATGTTAAAACCAGTCAATATCTCTGTTCTCCCATTATTTAAAGTGCATATATTCTTTGGCCTGGTATGTCAAAGTTAGTACAAACAAATCTGAGTTCCTAAAGCTATGTTGAGATAAAATTTTAGAAAAGTGGCTAAGTGCTAAACATCAAAATGCAACTGAGCATTGGACAGTGCTGAAAAAAAGCTGAAAAATTTTAAAATGGCTTACCACCGAGACAGTTCTTGCAAAAGATCTCTTTAAAATGTGTACCGGTTCACTGGTTTGCTGTTTGCCTTTTGAAGCACTGCCATCACTTGTTGGAAGTCTGAAGGTTGCACATAAATTAATGTTGACATTTTTCTTTACAAATATACATTTTTGCAATAGCAAAATAAATTAAACACTTCAATATTTTTGTTAGGTAAAAATCCCAACATGGGGCTTTTATTAAACATTTTCCAATGCTAAGCAAAATTGTTAGCATTGAGCATTTCATCATCTAAATCCCACCTTTGTAAGACTGGGTAGTAGGGGATCTCTTACTAGACAACATACATAACTTATGTTCTCTAGTAACCTTAGTATTAAATGTTACTCTTAAAAAGTTACTCAACCACTGTACCCAGGAGTAATCCAAGCAACTCATTACATTCATAATGTCATACATTACAAATACTGACTATAACAGATTGCATAAAAAATAAATAAAAATCGCCTCTTGGAAAAGTGATGTCGATTCCATCAAGATTCTTAAAGAGATACTAGAAAAGATACGGAAGACAGAGAATCACAGTATTTCTGTACAATCACTGTATTTCCTTTGATTTTTACTACTTAAAGTAACAATGTCATTTTTTCAGTGAAGATTTATAGCCATTTGAATTCTTTAGTCTAAAAATTATTGTAGTAATCTAGAAACAGATGGACACACACAAAGGCATTGGTCCCATATATTGCCATGAAGTAATTACAATTTTTAAATAATGTTAAAATATAATCCTATTATCACATGAGCAAGTAACTGTTTGATATTTCAATTAAAGGTGGGAATTTTTCAGCAGTAAGGGATTTTCCAATTCATGCCATCACAAAGTGAACAAGAAACCTAAATCTATAAAACAACCATCCAGGTCTATATCTGAAGTCCCCATCTAGCACTCAGATTTCATTTTTCTAAGGCAAATTTTATTAGTTTAAAAACATTCTGAAACTGGTTAAGAAAATCAGTAGATTTAAAAAATAAGTTATTAAAATATCATTATAGGCAAAATATAGATAATCTGAGTCATCAGTGATATTTTATTAAAATTAACCTCAAGGTTAAAAAAAGTTTAAAAATATATAAAACTTACATGTTTTTGTTAAATGTAGCTCTATTTCTAATGGTATATTATGATTTGCTGAATGCTTCAGGTAATTTCTTCCTTATTACACCATATATTTAATAGTGATCCACTAGCTCATTATAATAAAATAAAACATGTTAATTAAACTAGAAATATGCTAAATACCTGTATAATAATTGAGGTATCTGACCAGCGTTAACATCTGTACCATTATTTGATTTCTTTGAACTCTTAAATTGGAAAACAACCCTAAGAAAAGAAGAAATAACAATGTAACCAAAAACAACATGATTCAAGATTCACAAAAGGAAATGAAAAATTTAATAATCATGTTTCCAAATCTTATGTTAATGAACAGAGAGTCACTTTTTATGGAAAAAAATACAAGTGAAAAAACATCGTTCTGATTGTAGTTCTAACTCTGAATGGCTTAATGGGTTAAATGGAAGAATTAAACTTGATCTGGAGCTCCCAGGGGAGCAGCTGACGCCCTTATCTCTAGCCCCTCAGCTCACCTTTAACCAGAACAATAAGCTTTTAACAAAATATTTCAACTTTAGTTTAAAATCTGCTTAAATAGATACAACATAAACTTTAGCATCCAAATGCTGTAATATGCCAAGGTTGAAAGAACTATATATAGGAACCATACAGTCCCCCAGGATCAAAGCAGTCTCTCCAGTTCTAATTTACAATCTTAGAGTAAGCTGAAAAGGATACATTACAATAACAGGCTTAATTTTGCTACAGCATTCTACTTGAACATTCAGGAGCACAGAATTCACTTCAGAAATTAGTCTGCTCTATTTTTTGGGTCAGCTCTGTTCTGAACTGGACAAAACTATATATGAAATGTACTATTATGTAACTTCTACATTTCAAACAGTTTATGCTCAAGAATAATAAAGAATAAACTGAATTTCTCCCATAAATGATGGTCCTCACAAACACATGAATCAGAGTACAGAGTATAAAGAAGGTTGGGCTTAGAGTCAAGAGACTCTACATCTAGATTTGGTTCTGCAACACAGAAGCCATCTGACTTGAAGCAAATCATTTCACCATTTGTCTCTATTCCCCTGACTGTAAAAACGAGGCTAATCACAAAGTTCACAAAGTTGTTGAGGGCATCAAATGAGAATATATTTGAAAGTATTTCACAAACTCTTAAGTACTAGATACTTGAAATTTAAACAGGAAATTTCTCCTTACATTTTATTAAAACTATACCATCTCATAACATTAAAGCCTTGCAGTTCATAAAGTGTTTTCATAGGCACTGTCAAATTTTATAGCAAGTATATATTCCTTTTTTGTTTCCAAAATCCTCACTATTCTTGTCACTTTCCTCTATATAACTTCTAATTTGGTAATAAGCTTTAAAAGAATGTAACATCCAGAAATACAGAAAAATGCCAACTGACAAGAGCAAAGAACAGCAGTCCTATCATCTCCACATTCTGTCTAGACCTTAATTTGGCATGAGATTATATGAATTTAATTTTTAGCAGGTCATATTATGCTTCAGATTTACTAAGATTTTTGTCTTACTGAAAGACCTTTGAGCTTTCAAAACAATATTCCACTAACAAAAATGAGAGTTGCTTAAAAAATACCTATACATTCTGCTTACCCATCATCTGTGGTAATAGAAGCTTGTCCATGAGATCCACAGTCACTACTGGGTCCTGACACTCGAGCCCAGGCCACATACCACCAGCCAGCTTGCAGGAGAACTGGTTCATCAAACATCATTGCATATTTTTCTCTGAGAGGAAAATTAATGTGTTAAAGACAATGGCTTTGTACTTCCCTGTTACATATATTTATTTTTAAGTCCTTTATAAACAACACATGAAATACATTATAAGATTCTTATTTAACAAGATTAAAAGCCCTCTATTTTAATAAGTATAAACAAGAACACAAATAATAGTTACTTGTGTTATGGGGATGGCATTACACTTCCTCCCCCTCATCTTGAATTCTAAAACTTGCTTAAATGTTATAAAATTTTCATATTAAAATAATTTTTAAAAAATTGTTAAAAAAATCATTCCAGTTTTGTTGGAAAAATGAAAGTTTGAATTTTAGTTTTAAAGTTCATTTATTCAACTAAAGTATTTTGAGAGGTCTGGAATCAGATGGTCTGAGTTCAAGGCCTGGCTTTGTGACTCGCTAGTTAGGTGACATTGGGCAAGTTACTATATCTTTTCTATGACTCAATTTCTTCATCTGAAAATCGGGATAAAAACATTACCTAGCTCATAGCATTGTTATGAGAATTGAATTGAGATAAAGTGTTTGGAATTGGGTCTGTCACACAGTAACTACACAAAAAGTTTACTAAATAAGGAGGAAAGAAAAAACATGTATACAAATGAGGGCATCTGATAAAGATATACCCAAGTTATAACATTCCAGGTAACAGAGTAGAAGGACTGTACATTGGTTGTAGCTGGGATGGAGAGGAGAATGCAGGGTGCTGAGGAAGGGGAAGAATGTCAGGAGGGATCTGCAGAGATATAAAGGTACAAAACAGGATCTGGGGGTGGCAAGGTGTCCAGTTAAGCTAAAGCATTAAGGCAGACATGGAAGAGCAGTACGTAGAAAGTTTAAAACATGTTGTGAAAGATTACGGAAGTCCTTTAATGCTAGCCTTAGGAATCTGGGCTTTGTCAGTAGGTAAATGAAGAAAATCTAGATGATTCTCTATACACAAAATGATACACTGCATTTTTTACTCATAAACATATGTTTGAAAATAAAAATGTTGACAATGGCATCTTAAGGTTTTATTAAAAATTAATTAAATTTTCTGAAATTTCTCTAATCTCTGTGTGTACTTAACATAAAAAAGTTACTGAAAAAAATCTCCTGATACTGTTTAATGTCTAAAGTGAAGAAACAGTCAAAATTTTCTTTAGGTTTATGACTTTTTCTCCAAAGTAATTATCTGTTAAAAGCAAACTCAGTGCCTTACTACCATTTTCAGAAAATACACATTTCATTAGCAAAACGCTTATACACACAAGATTTTCTTAACACAGTTATCGTTGGGAAGTACAGTGTACCACTATTATCATGAAGCTCAGTTTATTACTTTTTCTCATCATAATATTCCCTGATTCAAATCAGGGACTAACTGATGACTAATTTGACTAACTTGTCATAACACAGTGTTGAGATAATTCTTAGGATTACACAGAGAGGACTGATGAAATCGAAGTCTCTTTTTATTTAATGAAACTTCATAAATAAACATCCTGATTCTGGTTACCTCCTAAGAGGTTTCATTCAGTAAAGCTGGCTACCTCTCCAAGTGTGTTACAATCAAGCATATAGAACAGACGTGGAGTAAGAGTATACAGGTGCTGTGAATTATGGCCCACTATGACTATTCAACTCAATATACAAATGTCACCAGAAGTAAATACTTGCATCCCATCACTAGAACACTAGCATATTAGGTGTTCTCCAAGTGATACATAAAAATAGAAGTGTGCAAAATATATGTACTTTCCATCTTCAAGGTAGAAACAGTCAATTGATCTTGTGAAATAGAATCATGAAGGATACTATTATTTTAATGCAGTGTTGTTAACAGAAACACTTGATACTTCAGTTTCTTACACTGCTGATCACAGTAATTTTTCAAAACTTCCTTTTAAAGTTATGTTTATTCATGTATAATAAATTTTTCATATTAAGTACGTATGGATTATACTGAATAATGAAGAAATCTTTACCTCGCAGCACAGTCATAGGCCAATACATCAGTCTCTGCAAGAAGGTCTCCATCAGTTTCGTGATCTCCTCCATCAGGACCCAACTCAAACAGCTGGGGAAAGGAGAAAAACATATTATGCCCAATCATTCAGTCATGTAAGTCTGCTGAATAATATGTTTACGATTTTGCATCTCCAACATATGCTGGATAGTACAGAATGTAAAAAAGAACCTGCTTTAAAAAAATGTTATTCAGTGAAATATACAAGCCAGTATGTCTAAATTAAGAAACATAAACAATATCTTATAGTCTATATTAATCTCAATTTTTCTTATTTATATATCTATTTATATCAAATGCTCCAAGAACATTCTGTACCAGATATGAACATCTGAAGGAAGACTAAGTGAGCTTCCAGATGTGGCTGAATTTTGCTTCAACACTCACTGGCTGTGAGAACACAGGACCCAGTTTCCTCGTCCATAAAGGGGGATGGGCACCAGCAGTGCCTGCTTCACTGTAATTGTGAGAATTAAATAATGCTTGTAGAGCACTTAGAAAAATACCTAGCCAAAAAAAAAAAAAAAAAAGAGAGGCTAGAAAGATATTAGCTGTGGAGAGAGAGGAATAACAGAAGGTAAAGATACTTAAAAAAATAGGTGACAAAAAATAGTTCAAAGCAATAACAGCATAGGAAAAGGAGACATGAAAAGTGTGAAAATAAATGACACTCTGGTATACATTTTAAGAGAATAACTGCGGTGTTGCCAATAGACTGAAGCAAGCAAGGACAGAAGCAGGATGCAAATTGAGAGGAAACTGTAAATAATCCATGTGGCTGTGATTTGGACCAACTTGGTACCAGGAGCAGCTTTCAGAAGTGGCTATATCCTGGATTTATTTTCAAAGTGCAGCTAACAATATTTGCTGCTGAAGTGGATGTGGGTACAAAAGAAAGAGGGAAGTCAAGGATGACTCCAAGATTTTGGGCCTGAGCAACTGGAAGAATGAAATTAAGTTTATTTTGAGTCAGTTAATTGGGAAGGGGAAGGACAAGAGAACAACACATCTAGAGAAAGCATCAGAAGCCTAGTTTTGATATGTTACAACCGAGATGCCTGTTAGCTATCCAAGTGGAGATGCAGAGTATACATGACTTTGGAGGCCTATTAAGTGTGAGAATGATCAGAGAAAGAATACTTAGAGCCAGAAGGCTGGATCACTGTGGGGGTGAAGAGACTTTAAAAAGATGTTCAAGACTGAGTTCTGGAACTCTAACATTTAGAGGTCAGGAAGATGACGAATACCAAGCAGAAGACCAGAAGAGTAGCCAGTGAGACAGGAGGAAAATGAAATGTGGTGTCTTGAAAGCCAAGTGAACGAAGTACGTCACAGAAGAGCTCTACTGGATTAAATGTTAATTGGTTAAGGAAGGTAAGGGCTGAAATTACAGCAGCATTTAATTGAGAATTTCTTATGAAGACTGTTACTGATATTAAGGCATAAACTAGTTTTCTCCTCTACTTAAAGAACAAAATCAGATAATTTGACAATAGAACATTCAAGCTATTAGTGAATTTTCAAAGAATGAACATATCCTTTGCTTAGTATAATTGCTGGCCCTTTCTGAGATGAACAGTGCAGTAAACCCATGACTTCTGATTGTTTTTAGTTTGTCTACCCGATGGAATCCATCCCTTTACTCACTTCATCCCTCATCCTCACTCCTATGGTGATAATGTCTGTTTGCATAGTATTTGGCATAAAAAATGCTAAAAACTTTAAAAGCTGTATTAAAATGCCCCTGCATCTTGTCATTAAAATGGCTACAAGAAAGCAGGCACTTAGATACAGCTGTATCCAGACTATTAGGAAGTTCAGCACAAAGGATTGAGATTGACTGTTAAAGCCTCTTTCAATCTAAAATTATTGAAAAATCGTTTTCTATTCATTTTACTCCCTTTTTAATTCACTTTAAATTTTTAAATGAGTTAATGACTTATTATTACTATATTTGATCTTAGCAACGTTTCCGCAAGTCCTTTTTAGAAGGAGGCATTCTATAAAATAATAAGCTAAGTCGAAACTGTTACCTTCAAAGAAAAAGGGCAACAGTGTCAATGAACAGCTTACCTTAATTTTAGCAGTATATTCTCCTCTACCTCCAAACAGACCAAGACCACCAAGTAAAATATCCGTGTCAGCACTAAAACGTATAGCTTCTACTGAATGAGCAGAGTAACCCCAGCCACCTCCATGACCTAAAAGACGCAAATGATAATTTATGTTTTAAAATATCCATATATTTCATTCATAAGACAATATTTCCCAAACATAAATATACATACTTTCAAACCTGTTTACTACACTATAATCTTCTTTGGAATAAACCTTCATTACTGCTTGAGTTTCCTCCTCTGTACTTGCAACACCCATTTTTAAATCCTGCATAGCTGCCAAGGTATCAAGACAACCTAAAAGCAAACAAACAAAAATTCAACTCCTTCAACTTAAAATTTCCCCTAATATTGATAATATGAGATGCTGTAGGGGATAAATTCAAACAATAAACTCTGAATGTGCTCAGCAAATTTACTACAAGCTTTAAATAACATTTCATGGAAGATACAACCAATAAAAATTCTCCTCTGCCTGGGTAATTATCATATTTGTCATTTAGTATATGTTTAATGTTTTGTGCAAAACTATCTCTCTGAAAAGTTAGAATTGCTTAATCTTCGAGTCCTTACAAGGTTCTTCATTTTATCAAACTCTCTGAATTACTTTAGGTTGATTCTTAAAGTACTATTTGCAGAAGACAGAATAGCCTGAGATAACTTTAATCAAGGCTAGTTCTAGATGTTTACAATGGTTACCAGACGTTGTGAAAGTGCTCTATCTCAAATTAATTAGAAGTGAAGTTGATGTGCTGTGGGAAACTGCTATGTAAGAAGAAATAGAGGTGGTAACTATAAAATTCATGTAATATTTTACAGAATTTATTTTAAATAATGAAAACAATTAAATATTATAATTATACGTTTGACTATTCAGCCTACATCTCTAAAGTTTATATATTCAAGTTAAGCAAAACCATTATTTTAAAAGATCTACCTATTAGTAAAATTATATTCAGGGTTGCTTTATATCTGGGCATATACGACTCTCATGGTGTTGGTATAAGTCTGATATACTGTTTTCTGTAGGATAAACCTCTTAAAGTTGGAGGATTTAATTTATTTTGCACCTAGCACATTATTGTTTAACAAATATGACAGAATGATATACAAACATAAATACTCTTAAAAAAAAAATCCTCAGCACACATTAATGAAAACTAACTGATCATCAAATACCAACCCTACCTAGAATGTGCAAAGCCGCATGAGACCGGGTGGTGAGAGCCCTTGATCCTGTTGGTAAGGCAAGTTCAGGACTCAGAATACTACATCGGGACTGCATGTCTGCTGCAGAGGGAAATCGGGCATCAGCGACCACTGCATTGTAACACCACAGCTCTCTAGTGTTTGGTCGAAACCTTTCAAGAAAGAGAATGATTACAGCACTCAACATATAGTTTCAGTTAAAAAAAAAACTTCTGAAGTATAAATGATGATACAAAGAGAATAATACAGTCAGCTTAAACAGGACAAAATGTAGTTCATTATTTTCAATACCTGAGCTAAACAAACAAAATAAAATGATTTATGTCACTTTAAGTGACATAAGTTGAACAAAACAGCAATATAGATCACATTACTTCATGAATAATAGAGCAACAGTTTACCTTACAGTCTAATGTGTACTTACAAATATGAAGCTTCTGTACAACACTCTATTAATTAAAAAAGCTTAAAGACAAAGAGTGAGTCAAAAGAAAATACGTAAAACAACCATATGAGACAAAACAACAATATCCACAGTGTAGTCTTCTACTCCTGCAAGCCAATAAGAGATAATCAATCCAATACCTAAGGTGGGCAAAGGACGTGGAAGGCTGTGCTTAGAAAGGAAGCACAAAGGGAATGTATGCAGATGCTCAGCCTACTAATACACAGCAGAGCATCACAAAAACCAGAAGGAAGCCAGAATGCCCTCCCGCCGTTATCTCATTTCTTTTATCTATTTCATAACAAAATTCTCAGAAGGCAGTCTCCACTTCTTTACCTCCTTTATTCTAAAATTTTTTGGAAAAACTGTTTTTATCAACTACTGAATACACATAAAAGAACAATAACAAAATACTTTTAAGATAAGATATAAAGAATAAAGACACAATGTACACTAGTAACTGTCTCTCTCCCTACTCAATTCCTTTCCTTTCAAAGGTAATAATACCCTGAATTTTAAGTTTCTTATTTTCTTGCTTTTCTTTGTGATTTTTCATATGTTTGTATCAAAAGAGTATATTATTTAAATTTCATGTTGTGAATTGTATATGAACAGGATACATACTCTGCATTCTTCTGTGGCTTACTTTCTTCAAACAATAGTCTTACAATTTGTATTTACACAGTGCCATATGGCTGCAAATTCATTCATGTGACTATACCACAACTATTTGTGCATTCTATTACTGATAGCAAAAAACAAAAACCAGTTTTCCGTTACCAAAAAATGCTGCTATGGATAATCTTTCACACAGCTTCTAAAGCACAGGTACATGAGTACATGAAAAGGAAGAACAAATCCTCATTTTTTCCAGCTGGTATGTCTACACAGAAAATACTACTCCCCTAGGAAGTTTGATTCATGTCAGATAGAGCTATTATTTCATATTAGTTTTAAAAGGATGGTCTCCTTACACTGGAATTTGATACAACATTGTAAAATTATTATAAATCAATAAAAAATGTTAAAAAAAATAAAGGACAGTCTTCTCAATGACACTTGGTGATCCAAATTTATTAAATATGAAAAGCATTACAAGGAACCAATCAAGTTATTGCTAAAATCAGAAAGACTCTTCTTTGGTGAAGAGGACTACGTAATCCTGAGACTTTGCTGACTTGTCTGTTACTGCCTGTTTGAGAAGAGTTTTATTTATATGAACACCTACGTATTGCAATGGTTTGAATGTGTTCATGTGAAAACTGGCTGTAAACTGAAAATTGTACACTGCATGGCAGAACAAATCACACATTTAATCCTAATAACAAATGGCTGTTTCTGGTTTTTTTTTTTTAAAGAAGTACATTTTTTAAATCCAGCAATCACACTGTATATATCCAGAAGAACTGAAAGCAGGATCTTGAAGAGATATTTGCACACTCATATTAATTAACAGCAGCATTATCTACAACAGCTAAGAGGTGGAAGCAACCCAAATGCCCACGGATACATAAAGGGATGAACAAAACGTGGTAGAAACATACAGTGGAATATTATTCAGCATTTAAAAAAGAAATCCATTCTGTCACAGGCTACAATGTGGATGATCTTGAGGACACTATACTAAGTGAAATAAGCTAGTCACAAAATGACAAACAATGTATGATATTTCACAGAAATAGAAAGCAGAATGGTGGTTGTCAGGGGCTGAAAGGGAGGAGAAGTGAGTTGTTCCTTGCATATAGTTTCAGTTTTGCAAAATGAAAACATTCTGGAGATCTAATGTACAACAATGTAACTATATTTAATACCACGGAACTGTATACCTAAAAATGGTTACGATGGAAAATTTTATGTTTTTTACTACAATTAAAAAATTTTAAATTATTTTTAAAAAACACTTAAGAGTAATACTTGGCACAGAATAAATTCTATGAAAGTAGTTGCTATAAGTAGTAGCTTTAACATTATTGGATTATTGCTTTTTAATTTAATCTATCAATCTAAGTGTTGCTCTTTTACAGGTGATCATTCTTTTCTCTTGGTCTTTTGTTTTCTATAATTTCATTACAATGTATCTTGATTGTAGATGATGGAAATACATAATTACTAGTATCTATGGATTCAAATCGTTTTTTGGTTTTGGAAAATTCCTAGGCACTCTTTCTTCAAATATTGCTTCTCTGCTATTTTCTCTACTCTCTAATATTTCCTTCTTGGAGGCCTATGAGATCTCATTATATTCTTCAAACCTCTTAACTTTCATATTTTTACATTCTTGTCACTGTGGCCTTTTGGGTAATTTCAAATCTCCTGTTCAGATCTCCTGATCTGTCCATGCATTTGTTTGAAAAAATTATTCTCTATTTGTTAAAGTTCTGCTTGGTTGTTACTCAAATATGCCTTACCATTTGGAATCTCAATTTAAGTCTCTTTTGCTTGCCCAATTGGAGATTCCATCTTTTATTTTTCAAATATTTCATACATAGCTAATTTATATGTTTCTGACAACTCCAAGGTCTGAAACTGACCTCGTTATTTGTTCTTTTGCTGGATTTCACTAACAGTGATATTCCTTATATGTTAAGTAATCTTAGACTGTGTGCTCTTATTTGATTGAAACTTAATTTGTTAAAAACCTATGGGTCCAAATGGGGGGGGGGGCTTTTCTCTAAAGATGATTTACACTTGCCTATCCCTGGAGACAAAGGGGCATTATCTGTCTGATCCTACTTTAGCATCATTCCAAGGCCAGAAACTTAATCTGCGAGTTGCAGGATCAGCTTCCATTTCCCTCACTTTGCAGCTAGCACAATGCTTGTTTTCCAAATTGCATTTGCCCTCAGTGAAATCCTGTACTATAGAGTATATTTACATTTTCTTTTTATGCTGGTTTTCTTTTTTTGAGGTGGGGGTAGGGGCAGGGACAGTATACTAGCAATATCTTGGCTGAGTATTAAGCAATGGATAAAACATATACTTTTTTTTTAAAGCATAAGTCCCTCCAAAGTATTTCACTTACCAAATTGCGAGAAGTAGAAATCCCTATTCACTCTTCAAACCACACCACTCTGGTATGCACACCTAACATTTCCATGAAATTATTACTAAAGTTACACATAACTTCCAAGTAGCCAAAACTAATGGAAGTTTTTGCATCTACTTGATCAAGCCCTTGGTGGTGTTTAACACCATTTTGAATCCTCCTTCTTTCCTTGACTCACTCCCCTTCTCACTTCTGTGTCAACACACACTCTCAGCTTTTTCTCATAGTTCACTGGCTGCTCCTTCTAATCTCCTGTCTAGTTCCTTGTCTCCCATCTAACTTCTAAATTTTGTAAGTTCTAGGGCTTGGTCCAGAACTCTCATCTTAACCTACATTATCTGCCTAGGTGATCTCAAACAACACCATAGCTTTAGATGCACCTATGAACTAAACATTCTCGAATTTCTAGTCCCAGTCCAGATCACCCTTCAAAGCTTGACACATTTATCTACTTGCCTACTTAACATCTTCACTTAGATACCAAATGTAACATGCCCAAAGCAGAAGTCTTGACAAAACCCGTTCGTCTCTCTTCCTTTGCTGGACCAGTTAATGCTACTAATGTCTTCTCAAATACCAAAATCAGAGCCTTGGGAATCATCTTTGACTATTTTCTGTCCTTAACTCCTCTATACAGGCAAGACCTATTGGCTCTAATCCAAAGTATATGCTGCTGACTGCTTCTCTCCATCTTCCCCACGAGAACCCTGGTTTAAAGACATCACCTCTGCCTTGCACTAATGCAGTAACCCCCTTCCTACATCTACTCTTGCCTCCTTCCAATCCAATTTCTACACAGTAAGTATAACCTCTTAATGTTACTTCCCAACTCAAAATCCTACAAAGGCTTCCTATTTTGAAGAAAATTCAAATTCCTTTAACCTACAAAGTCCTGCATGTCCTGGCCCTGCCTACTCTTCTGATTTTATTTCATGCCACTCACTATGCTTTGACCACACTGGCTTTCTTCAAATTCCTAAAACACAGCCAAGCTCTTGCTTGCATCAGAGCATCTAGTCCTACGATACTCTTCCTGTTCAGAAAACTTTTCCTAAGTCTTCAAATGCCTGGTTCTTTCTTATACTTTAAAGTTTTAACTTATATTGTCTCCATTGTATAGAAGAAAGTAACAGTACCCCCTTTTTCCTTAATGGTGATAAGTAAGATCTATAAAGTATATTATTTATTTACTTTTATATAGTCTACATCTCCATTTAGGGGGAAAAAAAATGACTTCCATGACAGCAAGAGTACTGTGTATCTACTCACTTTGTGTCATTCTTTATTTACCATATAGTATTTATTTAAATATTTAGTAAGTAATAAAATTAAAGTTCTAAAAATTGAAAATAATTTACTGATGCTGATAGCAAGGGGAAATATGGGCTCTCACGCAGTTGGTGAGAGAGCCCTGAAGGACAATTCAACACTCCAGTTCTGTGAGCCTAACTTCTACTCAGCAGTTCCACTCGTTAGAAAGTCATTTACAGAAATACACTCATAAGAGTACAAAACTGTGTATATACGTGTGTGTTCACTGCAGCATCATAGCTAAGACCAAAACATGAAAAAAATAATCTAAAATGTTCATCAGTAGGGAAATAAATAAGCATATTTTGGTATATCCAGACTATAAACCTCTACAGAGTTTAAATATCACAGCAGTTCTTTGACTACTGTGACTTAGAAAGATCTACAAATTGTTGTTTAGAAAAAAAAAAACTAACCTTTAAAAATAAATGTATTTTTATTTATATAAAACCCAAAATACATGCATTTTAAAAGGTATCACGCAATATAAACCAAACTTAATACTTGTGACCTATAGAGTTTAGTGGGATTTGTTATGGGGGAAGAAAAAGTTTTGGAGAAGGACTACATCATTGTTCCTGTATATACCTTTTGCTTCACTTTTTTTAAAAAAAAATACATATTCACATGTTATTTTTCTAAATTTTGAAGTGGGAAATAAAATTGCTATTAATACTTATCTGCTCTTTCTAGATGTTAAGTTTCTAATTATTCAGGAGAAGTTATTGTTAAGAATATAAATGGAAGCAGACTCAGGCCGGAGGAAGGCAAATCAAAGTAAGTTAATACTGAATCTGCAATGTCTAGTTGTAAAATGCAGGTACCCTACTGAAAAACACAGGGGACACAAAGCTGCCAGAAGTCAGGATAATGGAATGAACTCTCCACCTTCCAGCTGCTTTACTGAAACATACGAGGAGAATGCTCTTCATCTTTTAATCTCTGTTTTGGAACAAGAGGGTTAAGTGTTAAAGGAAAGACCTGACAAGGCATCTGAAATCATCTGTTTCACTGCTACCACCATATGCGAGAAAGGCAAGGTTCGCCTAACTTGGAGCAGAGGCACAGAATAGGTGCTGTGGAGGTCTTCCTACTCCTCAGAGTTCTGTTAAGACCCCAGGGAAACAGCTCTAGTTACACTGTTAGAATCTAGTTCTACTGTTATCTCTAATTTAAAGAATGCATTTCTAATTTAGTAAATGTATCCAGAAACAAATTCCATACTCCCAGTTTTAATTTTATTTTTAATTCAAACTGACTTCACTGAAAAACACAAGGATTACAGAAAATAAAACATCAATTTAAACGTAGGTCCAAACCAGAGCCTGTTTTTTGGTAACTAAGTCTCTTTTATACAGATCCAATTCACAAATAATTGAGGGCAATTCTATCTTTATACCATGTGCTTCTCTATCCCTTCCGTTCACTGACTGTTTTAATTTTGGTTCTTACCATCTCACGTCTTTGTTAGAATTACTGCAAGACTACTCACCTCTAGTCTCTTGTTATCTAAACTACAGAATGGTGCTAGGGAAATCTAGAAGCAGTAACTACTCAACTCAATTCTGGCCTCCAAGCCATCTCACAAAGTGCTCAAATAAGAGAGTAAGCTTGTCAGCAACCTGGGAAGTGCTATAACTCCTTCATTCCGAATGCAGGCCTCAGGGCTGACAGAAAGCACGGCCTTAGAAGACTTGGCTGGCTGAAGGAAATGAAAGCAGGAAACTCTTCCCTCTCCTCACTCATAACACTTCAATCTTTCAACCTATCTGACTTTCCACCTAGTAAGGCTGGCCACGTAAACACCACAAGAGGGAGGAAAGGTAGGTCCTGTGATGAGTCACTCTGGTAAAGGCTGGGTACACCCACTATTGGTATTCAAACCCAGGAACCTGAGGATAACTCTCTCCTTTACTCATGATATATATAAAGCACCATAATAAATTTTAAACAAATACAATGTAATTTCTTGAGTCTCTTGTGTACCTGTATCTATTTCTACATTTTTACAATATCCAGGGTCTGATAATCCTGTACATTGCGCTATCAAGATGGGAATTTTGTTATGCACATTCCTAAGGGCGAGCTTATTGATCTCATTTATTCTCTATTCTCTCTGGCATACTTTCTTCTAGATAGTTGGTAGTGATTAGATACTTATGGGATCAAGAAATAGAGTGAATTCTACACAATATGGACAAGATTGCTGACAGATTAAAAATAATTAATGACAGAACTCTTGAAAGTAACACTGCCTATCATAATAAGAGAAGGAAGACCTCTACAGCACCTACTATGTGCCTCTGCTCTAAGTTCTTCAGTTCTCATAACAGCCTATTATTATCCCTACTATAAATGCGAAAAGTAAGGCATGCAGAGTCAAAGTAACTTCTCCACAGTGACACAGAAAGCACTGCGAGGAGCTGGGATAAATCCCATCAGTCTAGCTCAGAACGCATGCTTTTAACTGCTACACTGTACTGTAAAGGGCTCTGCGTGTCAAGTGGTAGAAGTGCCGTCAACAGCTAAACAGAATAGTTCCCGTTTGTGAAAAATTTGCCTATACATGACTTTAATATTCCACAAAAGTATAATTTGATCAAGACTTATTTACTACTGTATTTCATAAACAGAGAAGCTTACCTCCAAATGACGTCATACACAGGATCAAGACACACACCAAATCCTTGCAGATCCTCTTGTTCAGAGTCATTAAAAGTTTTACAACTCCCATCCACTTTATTTATCAGAAGACACTTAAATGGAGGAGGTTCTGATATAGAAGCAGGTACCAAGCCTTGGGGGAAAAATTATATATTTTAAGGATACACTATCATTTTATATTCCCCCAACTTATAAGATAAGCATTTCCTATAGGGTAAGTATTATTACCTCCAGTTTACAGATGAAGAAACTGAGACTTAGGGGTTAAGTGGCTAAAAACCCGTAAGTAGCAGATTTTGCAATAAAACCTTAGGCTGTCTAAATCCATTAAGACATGCCCTTAATTTATCTATTACCACTCTACTTGATTTCTGCCACTCTATTATGTAATTATTCATGATATCTTGGATACAGGCATGGATTGACACCTTGGTCTCAATGAAACTTTGAAGTTTGATTTATGTAACCTTCCATAAAAATTAATTTCTATCATTTATTTAATAAGAACCAATACAGAAAAATTCCTCTTCCTAATATAGGTTTTACACTACTACAGTTTTAGCTCATATTTCACTGGTTTCTAGTCTCCCAATCATTACATTCTTCCAGGACATAGATACCTATAAACACAGACACTTAGAAGCTTCTTTTAAACTTCTTCAAACAAAAAGCTATAGGACTACATCTTATAACAAGGAAAGATGAATCATTTACCCTCAATCAAGACAGATTTTTGAGGGGGATGGTTTTTTTGTTTGGAGTATTACCTATTATGTGTTTACTGGCAAAAATTTCTGATGTAGCGAGCACATGAGAATTAATAAGTGCTTCATCAATTCGTAAGAAAGTCTGGTCCCCACTTGCACCTATCCAGGTAGCTTTTCTTCCATATTTTGATCCAATGTTGGGCATGGGAGCTGGTTTTGCATTCCAATATGGGACATCCAAAATTGGTCTGCCCAGTTGTCCTTTCTAAAAGATTAAATAAATCATATTAACAATATTATCAGATTAACAATGTGTAATTTTCTATAAAGGAAACAGCAGACAAAAATAGCTCTAGGAGACATTATTCTTCATCAATTATTAGTTTTTCTTTTTTTATAAATTTGAAATGTGAAATTTGGACCAAATATTTATAAAGGAGTAAAATAATTTCTATTATTCTTAGGAATTATCCCCCTAATAAACCACAAAGTACATGATTAAAAGATAATAAAATTAAAATATTTTTCCATGCGAGAGATCTCCCTGAAATACTGTGACTGTCTTCACCATTTAAATTAAAAAATAATAAATACACAATATGTTAAAAAAATTAGTAATACAAATTATTCATTTAAAAAATCACTTTGATAATTTGACAGTACCACAAAAAGTCACTATTGAACTCGCACAGTCTAAAAATATTTGGGTAAAAGACCAAAATAATGAATACTACCACTGTGAATACAATTAGAAAATTGCTTATTTTTCACACGATCATGTGTTGGTAAGTTATTTCAGCTGTTTTTCAAGATAAATAGCAGAATCAGTGACAAGGTATGATGTCTTAAGTAAGTAACTGTTAACTCACTAAAAAAGTATGGCTGTCTATAGGTATCTGTTATATAAGAGTTTCACTTAAAAAGCAATAAAGGTTTCTCACTACTAAGCCAGTAGCTGTAAAAGAATGTTGATGTCAGATTGGTAAATATTCACCCAGCCCTGGTTCAGGAGCTGTCTCTCTCTCACAGCATTCCCCTTCCAAAACCGGCTGGAAGGCAGACAATGCTGCATGGCGGGACCCAGAGTTAACTACACTAATGGGAATGAGAAACCACTGCAAAACCCCTGAAGAACAAGGGACCCTGGAGCACTGCAAGCAGTCTGGCTAAATTCTCACTCGGCTACCAGGTTTCTAGTGAGTTCTACCACTCCTTCAACACCACAGCAAAAAACACAGTCACAAGGGTGAGGGGGACAGCTCAGTGGCAGCGCACATGTTTAGCATGCACGAGGTCCTGGGTTCAATCTCCAGTACCTCCATTAAATTAATAAGTAAGTAAACCTAATTACCCACCTGGAAAAATTAAAAAAAACAAAAACACACAGTCACAAACTGACTGAAAAAGCAACAGAGCTTCAAACCCTTGGTTGAATCAAGGGAGGGAAAAGTGGCAAGCACATGATTAGAGAAGAAGTCAAACATCTCAGTGTGTATTCTCAGCTTCTTTCAATGTCTGTCCTTATTTTTGACAAAACAATAGTAACAATAACAACAGCATAAAAACGTGTATATCATATTGAGGGATATATTATACTTTTGGAGGAAAAAGAAGTTAACTATACTTTTTATTGATTACTGAAATAAGCATCTATTCCCCTGCTAACAAGCAACTAAAGTGAAGAAAAGCAGCCCCCAAACATGACGGATGCTTAGACAGCCCCACAAGATTCAGAACGTGGGTATAAATAAGCCGCGTGTAAATTCATAGATGCTCACGACCAGGCTTTCTGGAGCTAGAGGCTGTCTCATTTCAAATATTACCACTCCCTCCAAAACAACATAAAAACAAAAGAGCAAAGAAAACAACACAGGACTCAAGCCTTCAGCAGTATTAGGAAAGAGCAGATCTCAGGACCTTTAAGTTACCTGCAACCAGAGGAAAAAACCAAATTCCAAAAGTTTTCTCTACCACCTGCCTCTGCCAGCCTTGGGATGGGGTTGGGGAGGCAGGAGGTGCAGAGCACAAAAGAGGCGGCTTAAGATGGAGAACAGAGAAAAAGCACTGCAAGATCATTCCCTAAATGGGGAAATGCAAACCTTAATGTAAAAATGCTAAACATAGGCTGACTTGAATGTTCCCAGGGTCAACTACAGGAAAAGGCTTCCAAGTACGCAGAACCATTTCTCATCCGTCAGACTGACACAAAGTAAAAGGTATGACAGACAACACATTCTGCTGGCAAGGCTGTGGAGAAACAGACACTCTCATATATTGCTGGTGAGAATGTAAAGCAGAGGGAAACCGTTCACATGGCACAAAACTACATAGGTATTAACCTTCAACCCAGCAATCTTCTAAAAGTTTACCTCGAATATACACCTTCAATAAGATTCACTGCTATTGTTGCAAAATATTAGACAGTACTTAAATGTCCAAGCAAAAGAAAGTGATTGAATAAAGTACAATACATATACACAATGTACTACACAGATGTAAAATATAAATTAGGGATTTCTATGAACTCATAAGGAACAATTTCTAGCAGATACAGTAAAGTGAAAAGGCAAAGTGCAGAAGAGCCTGTATGTGTATGTACTGTGTGTACTATGAACAGAAAATCTGACTCTATAACTTTAGTCTTGGGGTAGGACACACATGAGAGGGGGCAGGGGCAAGAGCCACAAATCTTGAACCCTTTTTAGTGAGTTTGCTTTTATAGTTGTTTGGGCATAGCAAATACAAAACTATTTTAGACATATTTTAGAACTGAGTGAATGAGAAATAAATGTCTTGATACTGTTGGGAGCCAGGATTCTTACTGTGGAAGAAGGGACATAAGTATGGAATGGGACTGGGGAAGAAAGAACCCTGTGGGAATGGATTGGAATTAGAGGTACTGGTGTGGGCTCATGATTTCCAAAATACATGTACATATGTGTACATGCACATAGATGTATATGGAGGATGCAAAGACACCTGCAGCACTGAATACATCAAGTCCTCAGATGGTGTCTAGTACTATTTTCCACTGAAAACAACCAAGGTTCTCAGAGAAACAGCTGATTCTAGGACTCACACAGATAAGCCTGGAACATCTTGTTATGCCAGGAAGCACGAAATACTCAAAAAAAAGAAATGAAGGGGCATGTCACAAGAACATAGGAGCCAGCGTGATGGGAGTCCCACTGGCCAAATCTGAGACAATCCAAGTACCCAAATAATTAAGTACAGTAATGAAGAAAACAGAAAAACATGTGTCTATACCAATAGAAAGAAGATAGACAAATATTAAATGAAGGCTGCAAACAGTAAAATGGAAAGGGCTGACCGGTAAATGTAAGGAGGTGCTGGAGTTGGGAAAAAATCATCATTTTGCAACCGTTACAGTAAAAACTGGTTCAGGCAAGAATGATCAATAGATGCTAAATCTAGAAGGAAATTTTGATGAGAAGCAGGTATCTTAAAATTCTCTTAGAAACGTCAACCAATAGATCGCTTATTAGTTTCAAGGGAAAAAAATACTTATTATGCAGTAGGGAAATCAAACATTTTACAGGTGATCAAAATTCACATCACCAGTGAGGGGCAGGTGGGCATTATTTATATGTCTCCAGATGTGATGCCCTGAGAAGGACACAATGTCAATTACATGGCATTTTGGCCTGGAAGGCACAACCTGAATCTAAACATGAAGAAATACTAGAGAAACAAAAATGAGGAACAGTTTTTAAAGTACTATATTCTTCAAAAATGTCAATGTCATAATAGACAAAGAAAAGATGTGGGAACGTTACAGATTAAAGGAGACTAAAGACACATGCCAAGTAAATACAATGACTGCTTCTAGACTGGAGGGGGAAAAAGGCCAAAAAATAATTATCTGATTAATTGACAAAATACAAACTAAAGCATTTAGAAGTAAAGGGTCATAATGTATGCAAGTTATTCTTAAAGAACTCAAGGAAAAAAGTCTTATACACACACACACAAAGTACATGAGAGAGAATGAGAGCGTGAATGTACTAACAATAAAGCAAACAGATCAAATGCTACCAATAGGTGAATCTGGCTCAGGAGTGTATGGATATTTTTTGTACTATTCTTATATTTTGTAAATTTTCTATAAGCTTAAAATCATTTCCAGATAAGAGATTTTTTTAAAGTTCACATTTACATTTTTTAAAAATCAAGAATTGCAAATTACATCCCAGAGACTTGAGTTACAGGGTTCTAAATAGTTACACATATCACAGATGGTTTATTAGCATAGTCTTAAGAAGCTTTTCCTTGATCTCTACTACGCCCAAACTATAGACAATTATCAGAGCAGTTTCACTACTTTCAAGCTTTGGCAAAAAGAGACAGAAAGTAAAACAGACAGGCAAAGAGACAGAGAGACGTAGAGAGAGAGCGAGAAGGAAAGGAAAAAGGAAACTATAACTTCAAACAAATCTAACAAGAAAACCAGGCCTTCAAAGAGTTCTAAAATAGAAATAATTCTACATGTTAAGAAAAATGATTCTTTACAAGCTAGTTGGGAAATAAGCTTTCAATTGACAGAATTAGCTCTACTGAATGCTTAATGGACTCTGACCGGAATAAACATGTCCAATTGTAACACAGCTGTTAAATTTAATAAATTCTTATGCTACACTAGAGAGGAAAATTATTTCAAAGTAAAGTCTTTCAGGATTTGTGTATGTTGTATGTGGAGACAGGAAATATGCATATGCAATAATTATAATACAAGAATTTCACTGAAACCAGAAAAAATAGCTAATGTAGACAAACTGCAAGGCAATGTTACAATCTAATATTATTAATGCTTAAAAAATTCCTTACAGAAAAACTTCCAAATGTGAAGACCTGTCCATCCATTAAAAGTACTGCCGTGTGGTTGCTGCCTGCAGTAACTTGTGTGCTAGGGCCTGGCAATGCTTGAACAAGAGTGGGACATCCCCTAGGTTAAAAAAAAAAAAAAATTAAGTCAATTTCTTACAAGACCCAACTGAAATAAAAAACAATAAACAATGCAATAAAAAAACAGAAGAGATAAAAGGTACTAATAAGAATATTCAGCAAACATTTATTTACGTTCTAGATGCCTGTCTCCATCCTATGTGGTAGGTATACAAAGATGAAAAAGACATAATCACTGACTTCAAGGAGATTATTAAAAAGATTTCTTGAATTTATTACCCTAATTATGGACACATAATTTTTATTTTTTTCTGAAAGGCTGGTGCTACCATTGTTTTAAAAGAAAAATTTGTTTTTATCTTTTATAGTAAATGGCATGTTAGAAATCTCTATAAATATTTGTTGGATGAAATAAAAATTATGCACTGATAATTGAATTAAAATTCTGCACTAAACAGGGATTCAGTCTAAGAACAATAGGAAACAATTAATTTTATGTCTTCTTTTCTACTGCTTTTCATTTAACTGTAATTTTAGATTTTAACATATGCGGTAGTGAATGAGTTAGAATGTAGCACCGTGAGAGGCAACGCAGCAGTGGCTACAAGCTCAGGCTCCAGAGCTCGACCGCCTGGCTCCACCACGTATTAGCAACATGACCATGGCTTTGAGCAAGTTACTCATCCTTTTCATACTTCAGTTTTCTATTACATGGAGATAATCCCAAACAGTATTTACTCTATAGGGTTCCTGTGAACAATAAAGAAGCTCATACATGGCAAGTGTTTGGATCAGTGTCTGGTACCCAGTTAACAATTAATAAATGGTAACTATTATGATAAATGGCATCCTTATATCCATCACATCTGTCCTTGCAACCATCCTTATATCACTTCATTTACCATTTATTAACCACCTTTAGTAATCATTATCTATGAGAATAATCATCACTGTAGAAATAGTCCACACATAATAGGAGACCTCTGTTTTTGAGACAATGTAATTACAATACTTCAAATTTTTAAAAATTATGTATAATGTATCTTTAATGATTATTCAGGCTGCAATGAAAAATGACTTGGGAAGAGACAAGACTAACACCTAGAAACCCAGTTAAGAAAATATTACAACAATCTGGTGAGTTACGATCAAGGCCTGAACTAGAAACAGTGTGGATTGAAAGGCACGAAAGGACTTGACAGCTCTGTAAGGCACAGGACTGACCAGACTTTGGCAATGATTCATGTGGGGCAGGGAAGGGTTTTTTTGCTTAAGCAACACAGTAGATGGGGATATAACATTCACTTAAGCTATAAGAATGATGAGATCCAGGAAGACAAAGAGAGAAAAGAAGAGATTCTAATTTTCATGTAATTCCCTTCTAACGTTTTAGGTATGATAAGAGGAAGAAGAGCTCATAAAAATTCAGCACACAAAGAAAAATGAACTCTGGGAAAATGTGGTATGAAGAGAGTCATTTCAAGAAGGGGGAAATAATGTGCATGCTGAATGCTCTAGAGACAGGAACAAATGACCACTGGAGAGAAGAAGTCTCTTCTGTGGATGTACACAGAATACTATGTAGCAGATGAAGAATTAACAGTGGGGTCAGAGACTATGCAAAATCTCTTAAAAAAAAATCTCAGCACAAAAGGGAAAAAAGAAAGGAAAACCAACAGCTAGAGGGAAGATGAGCTGAAGGAGAAGCTGTGTCCTTTCCAAGATGACAGAGATTTACAGAAGTTTAAAAGAGTACGGAAAGATAAACAGATATGGTTCAGAGAGGAGACAAGAAACAGAACTAGATCCCTAAGGAAAAGTCACAAAGGTTTCACAGCACGGACAGGAACAGGCCCCTCTTTCAATGTAACACAAAGAAGGATCAAAGCAGCAGGAGGAACACAGGCGGGTTTGCAGAGCTGGTGGGCTGAAGAACTAATGTTTTATTTTGTTGTAATGTGAGTAGAGGTGAAGTGCTGAGAGGAAGACAGACATGGGTGAGCAGAGAATTTGAAGATTATGGAAAGGATATGATGGTGGATGGAAGAAATAAATACCTAGGCCAGGAGTTCTTAACCCAGATCCAAATGACTTCTAGGAAGTCTATGAGTGAGGGTCAGGAGATCCATGAACTTCCTAAGTTTGTAAGTCAACTTTTATGGGTATATTCTTATGTCTGTTTTTCTGGAGACGGCCAATATCTTTCATAAAATTCCCCAAAGGTCTTAAACCAAATAGTTCAAAACTACAAAAACAGAAGGATTATTGCCTACTATAGAAGGACTGTTCGAATCTAGGCATCATAACAATCTGTACAAGTGTGGTGATTAATTTTTTCAAGATGCCTTAGTTAGACAACAAAGCATAGGTAGATTGATGCATGCTTGAAGTTTTGCCATGCCTTAGAATCAAGACCAAGGGGGTGAGAAAACTGGTGAGAAAATAGGTGAAGAGAATAAATGGCAATCTCTAACTTGGGTAGGAAATAAAGTGAAATGAGTGAAAGAGACGAAGAAAGTATAGAGCTGTAGGGAATGAAGTACTGATAAAGTCAAAGACCAAGTCAAGTCAAGTAAAGCTAAGAAACAGAAAAGGAAATTGTCATCAGACTATGGGTTGTTTAAATTTAAGAATTCAGAGTTGGAATTATGCTAGATCCAAGATGGGTCCTAAGAATGACCACCAGGAATGTGGAAATAAATTCACTAGATCTAAGGGTGTCAAGGTAACTATACCATATGGGACCATTCACGAGAGTGACAAGACTCAGACTGGGAAAACGCTGTGAGCCAGGTAATAAATTTTCAATGTATGACAGGCAGTGACTAAAAGGGAGGTAATAAAAGAGGAAGAGAGCAGAATGGCTCTTGCCTCAAAAGAGCAGTGCTTTTTACTAGAGGATATAGTAACACGGCTAGGAAGAGCAGTGAAAGTTAAGTGGTTCTCAACTCTAAAGTACGAGGAGTCTGGCAAATAAACAACTACCACGTCAAAGGGCTACATGCTGAACTAACGCCCTCACAGAAAGGTTCATTTGATTCAAACGAGGAATTAAAGGGAAAGTTCCTACAACTGTTTACTTGCCTGCAGTCCACAAAGCATTTTCACATAAAATGCATCATTAGTTAATGACATGACTCTATGGGTACATACGAAATGCTTAAAAAGGATTTTCCCCAGAGTTGGTGGCAGTTCTTCTAATGAACTCTTTTCATGATACTAGGGCCCACTTATTAAATTACTTGGTAAAGGAAAAACAGAAAAGGAAAATTATGTGTATATGTGTATGCATGCCAGGCATTTTACAGACACTATATTAATTCTTTAACAATCTCATATTTAAACTAAGGCTTAGGAAATTACAGTCACATGTTGGTAAGAGATGAAGCAAAGATTTGAACCTTGTCTAAATGGTTCCAGACACCATGACTGTGTAGAATATTAATGCAGAAAGAAGATAGCAAGAAAAAGGTGAAAACACAGAAACAAAAATTAATTAAATTCCACTGGGAAAGAGGGGATAAGAGCATCCAAACTATATAGTCCTTTCCCAATATCCAGGTTTAAGTTTACTGAAAATAGTTAAAGAATTTGGAATTCAGAGATTCAAGAAGAAAACAAACAAAAAAGAGGGTTAGTAGACTCATGTCATGAATGAGTGTAAACAAGCCCTCAGAAGCTTTTTGACATTCACTTTAACAAGTAGCAACAGCTAACACTTACCGAGCATTCACTATGGCTTAGGTCATGTGCTAAGTAAACAACTTACATCATCTCAATGAATTCTCACAAAAACCATCTGAGAGAAAGACACTTACTTCTGTTTAAGAGGAAGAAACTGAGACACTGGAAAGTTAAGTAACTTGGTCAAGGTCATACAGACACCAAGTGATATAATCAGGGCCAAATCAGAGACTGAACTGAGTCATTCTACAAGTCAACACACTAAAAAAGGAGACTATCAATAACATTTTTCTACCTTTACCATATGCACAATATTTACCTTCCAACAATCACACATTATTAATGTGTACTATACAATAAATTCTGGTTAAAAGCACTTGATTACTAGAAACTTTAAAAATGTACCCTCCAACTTTATCTCAGCTAAATATCTGTAAATGTTTTGCTTTGTGGTAGTTAATTAATATGCATGCTATTGAGGCTTTGCTCCTCCTGGGATTTTTCCTCCATGTACACATGGTCAATTCCTTTTGGAATTCCTAACAGTTCTTGACTCCTGCCTTCCAAGTCCCACACAGATCCAGACAACAGGGTGACTAGAGTGTTCACGACACAAACGGTCTTGACTGGTTTTTGTTTAATCCCCCAGGCATAGTGTGCAGGCATTATTTCACCGTGTCACCCAGCTTAGCACTCCTCACACCACATGGAATCAGCCTTCCAGTTACAGTTCCATCAATGGAACCAGGAGAAAAAATTCACATGTTGGAAAGGACAACTTCCGGCAGTTAAAACAAATCCTACCAGAGTTTTCTCTCCTTAAGAAAATCTAACTAATTTATTTTCTACATTAAAAACTGCCTCAGTCTGTGAAAATAACATATTCAAGCTATAAAAATACTTGGCATATTGCTATGATACCGTCAGCTGAGCAAATCACTGCAAGTCAAGGAATGGTGCTCCCTGCTTGATAATCAGGACAGGAGGCAGTGTTTTAAGTAACCTCTTCATTTTAGAAGTTGACATGAGAGCCTTCCCTTTCAACAGCCTCAACGTGGCATGGCAGGATCTTGTGCTTAAGCTATTTGTTCTTCACACTGCAGTCACCTTGGGGCTGTGGTTTGATTATAAAGATATTCACTACTTTCCTCCCACTCAGTCAAGACCAGGAAATACAGCTATTTGCCAGTCCTTTTCTGGGGAATGCTATCCAAGTGCAGTGTCTGATTTGTGAAGATGTGTCCGTCTTGCTGCACACATGACTGATGCTCCGTCATGTCTAACTGTAACACATCTTTCCCAGTTTGTGTCATGACTTGCAAGAAAACTGTCAGCTAAATAACAGCGATGATGATGATAATCAACCCTCTTTCTCTCTTTCTGTGTCATGAGTCTTCAGTAAAAAACAGAATAAAAAGTTCCCAAATTCTTCTCCATACAAATCACAAGTCCTGTCTCAGTCACTGCATACGAGTGAGGTCATTCGAATGTGAAGTAAAGTATCCGCTGTCTTCTAATGCCTATGATGGTAATTCCTCAACCTGGCAAACCCACTGATACTCAGTCATATCCAACATCCTATAATATCCAAGTGTCAATAAAGTAATTCCATCAAAGACCTTCTGCTCTCTTTCCAAGCACAACATTTACCATTAGGACTGTGACAGTTTTATATACCTCTTGACAAGTGTCAAATATATGCTGCACTTGTGTATTTAGTGAGAAGTTCAACTCAATGATACCTCAATCATCCAATAACTAAGGACATTCCTTTCATCCCCATTTTGTGTGCAGTGCAAATGGTCTGACCCCACCTTCTAGGGATGGACAGTGGTTCTTAATCCTGGATGCACACGAAACTGTGGAGAACTTTTAGAAAAAAGCTTTGATGCTGGCATTACATCCAGTATTGCCCTTACCACCTTCACCTCCCACCTCTGACACCAGTCTCCCAACAAACGGATCTGAGAAATTCTAGATTCTTAGAATCCAGGCATGGTATTTTTGAAGTTCTCTAAGTGTTTCCACTGTACAACCAGGATTAAGAATCACTGGTCTTTACTATGTAAAAGGCATAATTCCATCCCTGTCACAGTGATGGAGTGATTTCAGAATACAGTGAAAATTCTGAACTTTATTTAATGACTGAAGGGGTTCACTGCTATGTGAATGAGAAACATAAAGGTCCAGTTGATTTTGGCAGGTATCCTGTGACCACAAGGAAGAATAAGGTAGAGCAAAGAGTCAAAACGAATAGAGGTTCTGTGGTAAACTGAATTGGTCAGTCAAGCCTAGCCTGAAGCTGCCCTAAAATCTCCAGACTTTATTAAATAAACTCCGTTTCAGTGGTGGGGCGGCCACACATGTGGATCACTCAGATCTTCAAGACGACCTTCATGAATGACTGAGAGCCTAGAAACTGTTCCTTTACACCCACAAGGCCAATCTTACCCTGGGACACTACCAGCCTGTGACTGAGCACAGTAAAGGTTATGAACAGTGGCACATCCTGCCCAATCTGGGACTCAGCCAAAGGCAACCGTGGCTTGAGGACACCCAAGTGGCCTGACTAAAATGTTCTCAGAACTGCACTGTAACCTAACTCTTCCCACCCCATCCTTCTTGCCTTTCACAGGGGTCAGATCTACACCAGGTCTGAAGGTTCTCCCTGCCTAGTCCTGCTCTGTTTTCCTTCATCTTTCACAGGAGTTTCCTCCCAATAAACCCTCTGCACATCTAATTCTGTCTCAGCATCTTCTTCTTGGAAGATCTGAACTAATAAAGATGGATATTCTATACTTTTGACCAAAAGCACTCTTACTGTATTAAGCAGATACAGATTCAGCTGCTGTAATGAAAGCAAAGTAATGAGGGCTTGAACAGGATAGAAGTTTATGTCTCTCCTAGGTAAGAACCCAATTATAAGGAGCTGATATGGCAGTTCCATGGTATTGGGGACGCATGCTATTTCTACCTTGTCATTCTCATACATATGTTTCCAACTTATGATTGCTGTGATAACTTCTCCAGCTTCTGCTATCATGTATGGATTCCAGGCAGCAAGCTGGGAGGGGACAGGGAGAAATGGAAGGGTACCCCTCTTTCCCTTTAACAGCATGATTCCAAAGCTACATACATCACTTAGTTCATAGCCATATCCTGCTACAATGGAGGTGGGAAAACAGTCTTTAGCTACATGGTCATGTCATCAACTAAAATTCTACTACCAAATAAGTAGGGAAGAATGGACATTAAAAAATGTCTAGTAGTCTCCATCAATGTTAGTTCTTCACTATTCCAGGTAAGTCAAAACACAGTTTCTCTGAGTGACCATTAGATATGGTTTGTAAATTATTCCAAAGCTTCAAGAGCTTCATGTTAATATTAGACTAAAATTTCAAAACAGATAACATCAAGGAATATGAATAAATCCACTGCTGACTTATTAAAATGAAATTTGGGGATATTCACTGTGTTTTCTATTGCCATGAACAGCTTTTAAAAAGATATTAATTCTTAAGAATACAGTAAGATTTTATAATGATAATCATCTTTACATTTTAAATGTATAAAATGTAAATCAACTTTTCTCCTGAAACTACAAAATCATCTATCCTTACAAAAGCACTCAACCAAAAAACTAAGAAGCACCAATAATTTATGGGCCATGTTTTGCAAAAGAGTGCTATAAATACTATTTCAATGTACAGAAATATACATTTAGAAGGAAAAAGGGAAAGAAAGGAAGAAAAAAAAGAAACAACTCAACACCTTGACACAAAAAGTTAAAGTACCTGGAATTGACATCCCCATGTCCGAGCTGCCCATGCTGCCCATATCCAAATGTATAGACATCTCCATTTTCCATTAAAACCACTGAAACCAAGATCCAGAGCTTTACTTTTTCATTATATGCAGTACATATTATATCACAACTATACTGAAAGCAGTGTAATTTTCACTATTTAAAATGTACAGAGACATTAAAAATAGGCAATTGAAGCACAAACTTACATTTAATGAGAAATAAATACAATTTTAGTTCTCAAAAAGCTAAAAATATTTTTGTAGGTTATAAAATACATAATGTTTTCCTAATATATACTTTCAAATTCTTATAAATGCCATTCAATAACATTAGTATTCAATAAAATATTGGTTTGGGTCAACTGTAAAATTGATTTATAATGAGTAACTACATACAAAATACTGTTCTCTCCTATCTAGGATAATTATATAGGTTCATGGATTTGAGTTCTGCACAATTATGTACAACATCAATGCTATGTTTGTTAGAACTTTAGTATATGTTAATGCTTCATCATACAAGGAAATATACTGAATATCAAAAAAGAATTAACATTTTATTTTTGTAAAGGTTGAATAATACAACCTAAGCTATATCCCAAATGTCAACAATTCAGTAGGAATTTAAACATTGTCTACATTTTAAGAAAATAAATTTGTTGATGCACATTTCTCTTTGAACAGTAACAAAATATGTGACTGGGTTCTAAGAAAATCACAGAATTAGACTTAAAAGGAATTTCAGAAATTATTTTATCTTCAGGAATTTCATAAATTGAATTATAAAGTAAGTCCATCAGAAGACAGATTAGAAGTCAGATCTCTAGACAGTCATGCCATAGCTTAAAAGAGATTCTTTAATAAATATGACACTTCCATAGATTTGAGAGACACTGCCACATTACAGCTTTTAACATACTGTTAACAGATCACATGTGTTAAAACTAAACAAACAGGTTAATTAGCACAATTGTAAAAATGTAGTTATACCCTAAGTTCCAGCTGCTACCTGAATGGTGAAATCCACAGCTGACTTGTACTGCCCGGAGCTCACAGTCAAATCGCACAGAGCCTGGAGGATATGTTGTGATTTTGCTTGCATCCTTTTCTCCTCGTTCTCCACTTCCATCTGTAAGTGTTATATTTGTAATTAAGCCATTATTCATCTTCAATATAAAATTTTAAATCAGTTTACTATGGAAAAACAAGAGAAGATGTTAAAAGGAACAAGCAAGAAGAATCTGCAGCTGTTAGAAGTGATAGATCAAGAATCTACCTGCAAAGAAGCAATTTTGAATAGATATACTATATACTGCTGTTTGCAAGTATCACTATCTCAATAAAAACACAGATAAGACTTGGTTATGGATAAACCTATTAGGCTAATCAGTTATGTAATGTAAATGGGTCATTAAGTTACAGAAATAACACAATTCTAAATGTAATAGTTTATATGGGAAAATTTAGTCTGCATAAAAAATAACTGCATGCAAAGTCATTTAACAATTATTTTAAACTTAGTGATGCTGTTAGTGCTAGCCATTTAAAAAAAGATTTCTAGTTTACTTACAAATGACTTAGATTTCCCAAACACATCTTAGTAAGGCTACGCTGTCCACCAGTACTACCAAACTCAATTGAACTTCAAAAAAATGTACGAAGACCAAACAGTTTTATCCAGCAGTTCAATGGTTTCCTTTGATTTATTTTTTTGTCCCACCTCGCCCATCAGCCATGTGGCTTTGTGGTCTTCTTCTGGCCCCCAACTACAACTCTCAACCAAGTCCTCTACTTTTATTCCTTCTTTCCTCCTCTCTTCTTTTTATAATTTCCTTTCATAAGCTGGCTTTAAAGGCCTTCTTTCCACCCCTAGGTTCTACATTTGACACTGAATATTCTGGCATTCTAACGATAACATTTAAAAACACATTCCAGAATATAACAACTTTAGTTTGGAATATGTAAATAAGAGAGGCAACTTGCTCTTCTCGGTCTAAAACTATACATCAATTAAATTATGACCTCTATATCATCAAGATTCAAATTCCTTACACACAGAATAAATGTAAATCTTAAAGGAATTTCAGGCCAGCTAGTCTAAACTACTCACGTGTGGTATAGCAAATACAAACAAGTGTGTGTAATACGCAGATCGTATCTACAGACACACATTTTTAAATAATTCTGTTTTTTCATTACCCATTTTAGAATGTGAAACAGAACATCAAATATTTCATGTTCACACTATCCTTTTTTTTTCAATCTAAAATTTCTAACCTTTGATAATATCCAGGTAAGATAAAATTGGCCTAAATTATGACTTAAATTTCTATAACTAAATGACTGCAGCACTTCAAAAACCTTAAACACTTAAAACTCTTTACAACACTAGGGCAGTAAAACCTTACTAATTTGGAATAGGTTGACCTATATGACTTACTGAAAAGGTCTTAATTACAGAACATTTAAGCAAAAATTCAGTTTTATTACCTTTTTGCAGTACAGATTATAGATTAAACTAAATGCTACAATAAATAAAATGTGACTACCTAATTACAATTCAAGATAGACCTGTATTACATTAAAATGTACCATAAACATAAAAGTCCTTTAACATACAAGAATTAATTGCTGGACCCAGAGGCTGAAGGCACGTTGAAGGAATCCTTCATTTCTTGAGCCCTTGGTTTGAAAAGCTAGTGATTTTAGACAGGTTCCCCCTTATAAGTATGACCCTGAAAATTCAGAGGAAGAAGTTATTTTGAATTTTTTATTTAAGAAAAATCACAAATACTGCATCTGAAGTATCAAAAATTCTGAATTAGTGAGAGGCTTTACCATAATAGGATAAAGAATAGGATTCCTCTTCTGCTAAATTATCTAATGTGGGTTTGCCAAATAAAATCTGCAAGAATGGATGGGTTAAAAAAATGCCAACATTTAATGTCACTCCATCCAAAATAAAATATATTTTTAGTTCAAAAACGCCTCAGCTTAGAAAGACAGTGGAAAGGTTAAATACAAACAAGGGCTTATCCATAAAGGAGTAAGTATCTTCCAAATACTATTTAAATAAGATGACAGATATATAGAAATTTTATAGCTTTAACTCAATAGGTAAAAATATATAATTATTAAAACCAAATCTGTTTTAACATAGAAAACAAATTGTGTTCATATGTCTGTGCCAGGCCTAACTAAATTCAATGTTACAAGTGTAATTCCACTTTACATAAGTGTACTGATGCTTAGTTAGAAGCTTTTACCTTTGAATTTGGCATTTTGCCCTCTCCCTTAAGTCAGAGATTAAATATAGATACAAATTCCACAATAGAGACATAGCATCAGGGAAGAAGGGGAAAAAAACCTAGTAATTTACTGATTAAAATCATAGTGATTAAAAGAATAGTAGCTATTATTTACAGATAAAAATAATAGCAACATTTTGTTCAAGTTCATTTAAACAAATCTGTATCTATATGAAATAATTTAATTACCACAGATGGTAAAAATATTATTATAAGAAAAAAACAGGGATGAGTTTCTTGATCATTAGCAGCAGCAGTGACAGAATTTTAAAAATATATGGCTGTATCTGAATTTGATGTCAATTAAAAAAATCAATTACAATTCTAATAATTTAGAAATTTATAAAAGTTTATCAAAGAAAAAAGGTACCTAAATAAGCAGCTAAGAATTTAGTGTAAATTCAAGAATCAGGAAGTAAAACGCAGCAAGATTAATTCTGCTCAAGCTAATTATTCAGTAAAGTGTTAATGAGCAGCAATCAAATTAATCTCAGATTTGTAGGAAAATTAGATCTGAATATTCTTACAATTGGCCATTTTGGGTATATCTTTATTTTCCCTAATATAAGTATGTTCATACATATATCATGTGATATTGAAACTATGATAGCTGTAAAGTTTTGATAGATATGCATCTAAAATATTCTATGTATATACACTATGCATTTTTGTGTACACATACAGATAAAGAAAAGAGGATTCAGTATCTAAAAGATTCTAACTTTAAAGTTTAATTTTTATTTAAATCTACACTTTTTGGGTAATCTTATTGGCATGCATATCACTGAATGTAAGAGAACACAGTGAGTACTTTGAGCAAAATCACTAAAATAAAACAGCAAAGCAATAACAATTACAATATGCTAAGCATGTGCTCTGTGCTAAACACTGAGAATTTAAACAGCACAGTGGATAAGTGCTTTTGGGCACTGGAGCCTAAGAGACTTGGATTGGAATCTTGGCTCTACTATTTGCTAGTTTTATGATAACTGGACACTGGACCTTCTTAAGTTTTAGCTTTCCCAACTATAAGATGGCAACAATGGTACATTACCTCAAAAAGGTCTTAGGCAGATTAAGTGAAAAATAATGTATGAAAAGTGCTCAATCAATATTCACTATTGTTGCTTTCTTTAATCAGTATAATAATCCGATGATATAGGAATTGTTATTTCATTTTGCAGTTGGGAAAACCAAGGCTTAGAGGAGTTAAGTAACCAGCCCAAAGCAGTAAATGGCAAAGCAGTTTAAGAATTTGATCAAAAGTAAGGCTCATGCATTTTACCACCACATGGTCGACATCTTAAATCTTTTGTAAAAATAATCACATATTTAACAAATTTCAATTTAATCTTCGTATCAACATAATCAGTTAGGAATTATCATTCCTATTTTTCAAATAAGGAAACTGAAACCGAAGAGATTAAGAAATTTAAGAATGGCCACACAGTTCTACTAAATGACAAATGGGATTAAAACTAAGACCTAATTCCAAAGGCTATACTTCCATTACATCACACCATTTCTCTATAGAAAATAGGTGTAAATCACACACACATGTTTTTAAGTGCACCTTCAGATTTTCACATCAGCCACTTCAAGACTATTCTCCAGAACAATTCAAATGTCCCTAACTAGGAGTAGTGAACTAACATCTTTTTTTCTATGTAAGGCACTGAATAGCTGAAACAAATGTTAATCCATGTAACTGTTTGAAATATAGTCTATAGTTACATTTTTGAATACTGTATGTTATATGGATTATATGTTATATTTATTGATTCAGTCTTATATACTTTATTTCGCCTCTAATCAAAATTTGCCTGTATAGGATGGATTCCGTGACCTCCTCTGAATTCTCTCCAATCAGCCAGAAGCTCTCCAACTTTCCATCTTAGAACTCTCTCCTGTTAACAATAAATCCACAGTTCTTACCCTCCACACACCCCCATAAAAAAGTCACAGTCTAAAAATTTAAATCATTATTATCCTACAATTTGTACCATCATAATTAAATATAAGACAGAATATAGCAATTAATATAGTGATTTCTCAGTGGAAGATAAACAGGGTAAAAAAATAGAAAAGAATGTATGTAGGAAAAAAATTTTAAAATGTATTAAAAGGCTATGACTATATGCAGCAAGAGTAAAAGCAGTGACTGGTGAGGTAATAAAATGACATGGACAGTGAATGCAAAGGGAGTAATGGAGAGCCAATGTACGGGTGTATAGTGAGTGGTAAGTTAATACTCTCTAAATAAAATAGGAAACCATTTGATAAAATATTAATTACACTTTAAATTCATTTTGGTGGTAAAGAGATGATGCTGTTTCACTCTATAAAACCATACAATCTGATGATTTAAAAAAAAAAAGGCCTTATACTATAATACTACAAAGTAAATCCTTCCAAAGAGGTTACTACAAATATACAGAGTCCACTAAGTAACCCTGTGGCAGACAAGATGGAATTAAGGCTAGATATTGTTGAATAATTTCTACAGCTCATCAGTGTAATACTGTAAAAAGTCTTTTAAACTTGTAAACTTGGTCTTCATTTAGCATTTTATTTAAAAATTCTGGAAAAAACAAAGATGTTTGTCTATATGATACTGATACAGACCTAAAAAAGTTATATTTTTATTGAAATATGAATATTTCAAATATTGTTCCTTAGATTTAAATAGTTATGGTTTGTTAGAGTACCGAGCAAATAAATCAATCACAAATTTTACTGTGGTTAATAACACTGTATTTAAAACACTCTCAATTTTTATTTTTGCAGAATACATCTTAAGTAGTGCTCTATTTATGTTTTTACTAAAAACAGGTGGGTCTGTCTGTTCTGTTTTGCTTTGAGTGGCAAACTGATAGGTGGAGAGAGGCAAATAAAAATGAAGTTGATTATAATATACTGCATAGGAAAGCTTAAAAATAAAATTAGTCTATAACAGCCTTGCGGCAAAAAAAAGACACAAAACATTAATTTGTCTACGTGGAGTATGTAATTTTAAAATTTTCTATTCTATTTTGCAGGGTTTATTTCAGGCATTTAAGAAAACAGTAAATCTAAGTTGTACTAGCCAAAGAATTCCTGGTTTACATGCCAGGATTCTAGGCAGAATTTATATGTAAATTTATGAATTCTCTGCATTAAATTCTCTCCTGATCTTATTGACCCATAATCTGAGGTTTAAGGGAAAACAATCTTCCTTTAGGAATATTTTTAATTAATCCAGCACTCTGGTATCTCAAAGAATTCTGTAGAAACAGACTCATAGTCACTCGAAGACTTGTTCAGACCTGTGACAGTTTCTGAGGACTTACAGTAGGTCTACACAACTTACTCTTTACTTACATCTACCACTTTTTAAACCTCAAATATCAAATAATTCAGGTGTGTTAAGTATATAAACTCTGATTTTAAAACAATGGAGAAGCATAATAGCAGTCAACTCATTATTACTTTATACATTGACAGGAGCAATTTTGTTAATTCTAAAGCAAATAAATAGCATTAAAAAAAGAAAAAAGGATTGCAAAATGCCAGATGGCAGTTGTCTAAGAGCAGACAATAAAGAATATAAAATAGAAAGCAGTAATTATTTTTCTACCTTCCTTTAACTTCATGAAATTTGAAAAGAAATGGAAAAGAAAATGATACACTGTAAAATGTCTTGTTTTTATTAAAGTTAACCAAAAAAATAAAATAAGATTGACCGTCATTGACAAACAGTATACTTTCAGCATGTTCTTTCTCCTCAGGCTACATAGTAATGATAGAAGCAAAGTAGAAGAATTAGGTTTGTGCATTTTCCCAGAGACAAAATTCAAATGAGTGGAAGAAATTGGGAAGGTATCCAACCTAGTTGATAAGGAAGACCAAATACCTTTGTGCTTGTCCCGTTTATGCTTTAGCTGTGCTGGATGGGATCTGAGTCTGGCTAGAGCCTGTTCTCGATGGTTCATAAAAATAGGACCAGCAAATACAAGGGGGCCTGAGGAGAAACATTTTGTATGTGCATAGGAAAGCTCACAAAATGAAAACACTACAATGAACAAAAATAATTCAAACTAAAAAGCATGGAAATTAAAGTTCTGGACATTGTACTTTTCTCCCAATCCCCCCACCCCCAACCGTAACCTATTCACCATTCTATACAAAAGTTTCAGTATCTTAAATATAGTTTATAAAGTACAAATTCTATCACTTATACTTATAAAATGGTCAGGTAGTTACTAATAGCCTCAAATAAATCATCAGAAAGTTCAAATAGAATAAATCAAATTATCTTACAAATATTTTTAACATCATATATATTCAAACTTGGTAAACTATACATTCATTAAAAATATGTCTTTCCTTCTGAAATACCAAAAACCAACTAAGTTTTAAATTAATGATTAAATTTTAGCAAGGCCTTCAAGATTTAACAGCCACATCAGTCTTGCTACAAAACCAAGATATTATTAACTATATTCTGTCATAGGAAAGAAAAAAATGGTCAAAAACAAAACAAAACCAAAAAATTACGATGATCTTATGTTTATACACATGCACATTTATATATATACACGTATATGTATATATATCATATCACTACCGTATAAAGACAGAATTACAGAAGTTATACTTGATTTGATTTTCTAAAAAGGATAAATCTAACTTCATGTGTGATTTCTATAGCCACATACACAAAATCAGAAACAAGGATAAGCTGAACTTCATACTGACGACAGAGGAATCTAAAGCCAGTAACATTTTTGAAACACTAACCATTCTTTCATTAAATAATTTCTTTCTGAAACTCCAATATGTACACATACATATATACACAAATATATACTGACATAGATTACAGTTATTTCTACTTATATAGGACTCAAGGAAAAAAATCTATAGCCAAATTAATTTCAGTAAAATTTAAATGATAATGGGGAAAAGCATTTTTTTAAACTTGAAAAGAAAACTCTAATTATACCTTAAAATTTTAGCTCATTTCCTATAGAACAGAAATACAGCTTCCTTGAGTTTTAGCAACATCAAAAATGCCTGCAAATTTCAAAACACTAAATTTGACAGTTAAGAAGTTACCAGTATTTAAAAAAGAAATTGACAGTATATATGTACTGATTTTTTTTATTAAGTTTCTTCATGATTCTCTATAGATCTTTGGCTATGATTAATTTTTCTAACAATTATTGCTCTGTAAAAATATTTGAAAAACATCAAATTAAATACCAAAGTACTCTCATTAAACATTAAAAAGTGGGTAAAAAATATTTTAATTATGCCTCCAAATATAGAAAAAAATGCAAGCAGCATCAATTCTATGAAAAAATCAATAACATAGTCTATGATTACTAAAATAAAAATATACTACTTCAATGTTAGTAGAATTAAAAGTATTAGACAGGTTCCAACTACACAAAAGGATTGTAAATACTAAAATAAGAGTAATACTATACTGTATTACCATTTTCTGATTTCTGTGGTCTGCCTGAGATATTATTTCTTCCAATAAAAATATTATACCCTTAATACTCATAGTTATTTGCTTCTCACTAAATTCAATCTTTTAATTGTCTTCTGATATATAAATCCAGAAGACACACATGCAATCAAACCTAAAAAGTGTAACATTTGAGCTCAGTTTAAATTACCATTTATAACATCAGGCTATTAGGTTCTAAAATATTCTTGTACCCCATGGACTAAAATAATTTTTTTTACATACTTCAAACATTCATTTATTCACCATTGTTGATTATCTGTAATGTAACAGACACTAGGTATTGTAGATACAATGACAAAGACATGGATTTCATTCAGATTCAGTCCACCAGGGAAGACAAAAAAGAAAACAAAGAATTGCAATATGCTGTGATAAATGTTATAAAGGAAGTCTGTACACATTATATCCCAAAGGATGAAAAGTAATCAAATCAACCTGAGACAAACAAAGAGGTTTCAAAGAATGAGAAAAAGTTTGCCAAGAGAGAGAAGAAAGAGCATTCCAAGTAAAAGGAAAAGAATTTTCAAAAGCATGAAGATGTTATAAACAACACTATATGGTCATTAAAAACACACATAGCCAAAATGGATGGAATATAGGGTTATAAAGCAGAAAGTAGTGGGCAATGAGTCTGGAGGTGAATATACAAAACAGATAATTGAAATCTTTTGATACCAGTAAACTTCATTGTAGAGGTGATGAGAAGTCTATAAAATGTTTTCAGTTAGTCAACAAAGACACACTGAGTACTGAACAATCTCAGGCATCATGCTAGGTCCTGGAAACATTTGGATAAACAAGACACCATCTCTGCTTCAAGAAGCTCATGGTCTAACAGCTGAGGGAGAGTTTACAGACAACCCAAGAAGAAGTTATGACAGTGCACTGTAACAAAATTAAGCACAGTGCAGCGGCAGGTAGCAAACCTTGAGGGTAGAAAAGCAGGGAGTTTGGGGATATAAGAAGAGAAAATACCATGTAAGCTGAGATCTAAATAAAAAAAAAAAAGGTAAGCCAGCACTGTAAAGATTCAGAGATATGGGGGAAAATAGTTTTGGAATAGGGAATAGGAAAGAGAGTAAAGAGACATGAGGCTGTAGAGATAAAACGTGGAATTAATTATGAGAACTATGAGTGACTTTTTGGTTTTAAATACAGAAATACCAATGATCAGATCTACATTTTAGAAAAAAAATCCTGGAAAGAAGGTGGACAATAGCTTAGAAGAAGGTAAGACTGGGGTTAAGACCACTTAAAAGGCTTTTTGCTGAGCTTAAGAAACAGCAGTGGCATACTAAGAAGTAGACATATTCAAAAGATTTAATAGCTTTTTAATAAAATTAAGAAAGTAGAATTAATAGAATCTGTTGGGTTTATTTGCTTCAGTGAAAGTGAATAAAACAGGGGTGTGAAAAGCACAGACTGAGATATTTAAAAGCTCCTTCCATTCACATGTAGACAGTGGGTTATCTGGAGCACATCCACAGGCAGGTAAACTGAAAGAGTGACTGGAATAAATGGCAGCAAAAAATAATACAAGCCTTTCAGAAAGTTATTGGTGACACATTTTAAGAAACTAAAAATGTTTCTTTGGCCAGTAACTGAACATCCAGAAATCTGTCCTAAGGGAAACTCTAAAATATTTTTCTAAAAAATTTCCGCTCAGAGGTGTTACTATAACCTTATTAATTGTAACAAAAAATTTTAAACAATCCAAAAAGGAGAATAATTAATAAAAACCTATGGTATATCCTCTCACTGGAATAATATTCAGCTATAAAGACAAGACTTTTGAAGAAAAAAATGCTTTTGTGCTATTTAAATTAGAAATGATTGTAATATGTTCACCAACATTTTGCAAAAATTAAAAAGAATAATAATAACTAATACAGGTGATGCTAGAAGAAAACACCACTCATATATTAGACTTGAAAAGACAAATTCCTGTAGCATTTTAAAAATGATCTGAAATATCTGTTGAAATTTAAAACATACACACTCTCTGGTCCAAATATCCTATTTCTGGGATGCTCTTCTATATACACAAAAACTCCACTACATATGGCTATAAGTTTAATAATATTTATTATAGCAAAATCCAGAAAAACCTGAAAATAACCTTAATGTCCATTAACAAAATAATGGTTGAATAAACTGTGGTTCAGCCATATTATGAAATGCCATATAGCTGTTAAACAGAATGTAGTAGCTCCATACTCACTGATCTAGTGTGTATTCATGTTGTATTGTAAAATGAGAAAAAGATGTTTCAAAGAACCGTTTGATATTTAACACAATATCACTTTTGTAAATAAGCATATGCCTATACTTCCACACATACATAGATATCTGCACATGATTACTAAACCTCATTTGCTTGGGGGAGGAGTACAAGAGGCAAGAAAAACTTCTAGAAAATATAAATATACATATACTATAACATTAAATAAGTATATAAAACATAAGATTCAGTCAGTGATATAACTGGGAATATATAAAACTTGATTAGAAAATGACAATGAAATCAATAAAAGTAAAAATGTAATTAAAGGATAGGTTTCTGTGAAAGAGTATACCAATATATATCACAGTATGAAATGATGTAAAATAACAAAATTGTACGCATAGAAAAATTTTAAGAAAGTACACCAACATTCTACAGTGGTTACCTTTGGATGAAGATTTATACTGATATTTTTTCTTATTTATATTTTCTAAGTGATTCATATAATACTTTAAAAGGGACTTTGATGTGGTATTAGAAGATCAGCTACTGGATACTGGATTTGATATGCCAAGTCAAGGAAATAACAGTTTTTGAGGCTTAAAAATCAACAGCAATAACTTCTCAACACTTTAAAATTAGAGAGACTATAATAAATTTGTTTTAACATTTTAATAGGAAACTTTTTTCTATCCTAATGGAATCATTTTACTCTACAGAAGATGTAGGGGGTTTTGCTATTAAAGTTTTGTAATGAACATCCCAATGCTGTGAGAAAAGCAATCAAGTTGAGGCCAGAGCTGGAAAAGAATCAAATCCAAAGGGAACAGAAGTCTACTAAACAGCCCACCACCACCAGCATAATTATCTTCACCATCACCACCATCATAATCATCAAACATTTGCCCAAGGCTTGGTACATATCAGACATTTTCATGTGTATCATTTAATCCTCATCCCTACTTATGTGAGTACACTTGTCACCTCCATTTTAAAGGTAAGGAAACTGAGGTTCAGAGTGGTTAAATTCCAGGGTCATATACCCAGTTAAGAAGCCAGGATATGAACCAAAGTCTAACATCTAAACCCATATTCTTAATCACCATGCTATATAGCTTGGCTAACTATGTAACTTATCTAAATAACATTCTCTAGGGAGAGCGAAAGAAGGCACTGTAAGAAATATGCCCAGATAGTATACATAAAACGGAAATGCCTCAGGCAAACCCAGGACGTAACTCACCCCACCTACAGCTCACAATTATGAAACCTTGATTTGACATTTAGGAGAAAAAGAAAGAAGGAAAACTAGGCAACATTATTTGAGCCTAGTTTTCCTTACAACAGAGTGCTGAGAAGGAATATAGAGATAAGAGCACTGACATAATCACCTAGGAGTCCTGGTGACTTATACAGCTCTACTTAAAAATCACACTGAACAAGCAATCCACTTATAAAATTAATACAAGTCTCAGAGAATTTAGCTGTCAATCAACTGTCTAAAAACAAACTAAAAGTTATCACAAACACTACTGAAATAATACCTGTAAATGAATGCCATTGGTACCTAAGAATATATACGTAAAAAAATATTATCTGAAAGATTAATATCATAAAAAATTAAAGAAAAAGTTCCAACTTTATCAAAAAGCAGTAACCACAACACTTTTTGTGGTTTCAACAGCAAGAAAATTTTGTGTCATAAACAGAAGCTAAATTACATCAATAGCCCTGAGGCTGGTGATCAAGGCTTTAATACAAGAGCTGGGTCCTAAAATTCTAATCAAAACAATCAACACAAACTTGGTAAACAGGATGAGACAGATAAATCAAGTAAAATAATTTAATTTAATCTAAACCTGAAAGGTTGAAATTTCAACACAGATAAAGACAATTACTAATAAGCATAATTACAGGCTTGCTAACTGTTAGTATCTAAAAAGTACCAAGCAGAAGCTAAGAAGAAAAAAAAAAAAAAAGACAAGTGTGTGTAACAGTTGGAACGTGAAAAATTTATTTGGAATTTCTGTTCCTCATGAGGACAAAACAAGACTAACAATCCTTGTTAGCCTGGTACCAAACAAGAGCCCTAGAACACTGTGCATGTGACTCAAACCTATCCAGGACCCTGAGGCAGAAATTATGAAGCATGAGGCCCAGGCAATTCTGATGTAGAAGGTCCAGGGAACAAACTTGATCATCACTGCCCTCTAGAGCAGTGGTTCTCACACTTCAGCACCATCAGAATCACCTGGAGGGCTTGTTAAACCACAGAAACAATATAATTTCCACAAATAATTAAATAATACTTTATTTTTAACCTTTAAAAGGTTAGAGTGTATGTTTTAAAGGTCTTTGACGCATTTTAAAATAAATGGCAAAAGAAAATTCTGCAATAACAAAGTTTTGTTGAATAACCAATGCATAGACAATGTTCTTCTACTTCGAATATACAGAAAAATACTATACCTAGAGAAGAACAGCTTTTTATAGACGGGGAGAAAAGATTATAAGACATACAGCATTAGGCAAGTAATTAAATGTCATCATAAGGAGCTGCTATACTTTGGTAGAAACGTAAGAAATTGCTGAGTTTTGTACATCATTTCATATGGTTAAACCTAGTATTTCCAAAAAAAGAAACAACAGGTAGTAAAAGTATCTCTGACAATTAACCTTAAGCAAATCATATCATTAAAATAAAAGGAATTATCATTTAATTACCATGTGTCATAAAGACCCAGAACTTATATTTTACTCTATCCTCTACAAGACATTTAATATGTTATTTTCCCATATATCTATACAATGTAAATAATAACAGTATATACATTAATCTCATTAAAAGCTCCTTTAGAGTAAGAGGCAATGATTTTATGTAAACAAAGCCAAATTAACAGCAAATATTCACTGTGTCAATTTATCAACATCGTTTATCAGACACTGTAAAGAACAATCTTCAAGTTCTAAGCATGTTTTATGACTTTAGGTTAATAAAAATAGAATTTACATGCACTATAAATTTTATATTTATTCCATTTTATATTAAAAAAGGAAATGCCTAAAAAAGGTCTGTAATAATAGTTAAATGGGTAATAGGTTTTATCTTATGTATCAAATATAATGTCATTCTAATAAATATTTAAAGATACAATGTCACTAAATATTTCTAATCAAGATTAGAATAAAGGAATAAAATCACAGACCTTTGTAACAATTTGTCCTAACCCTAAAATTCTACTGGGCAACAATAACTTTGATAATGCTTATATTTGTCTCTGCTTGCTGGATATATGCTAAAATACTTATAATCATTGTTAAATATATTCTTCAGGCTGAGAAGTGGTCATAAACAACTAGGAAAAGATAAATAATAAGTCTATTTTTGATAAAATCTGCAGACTCCCCAACCTACCCTTCTGATACATAACCAGAATAAGCTTTTTCTAAAAAGAGATACATCAAGGCATAATTATGCACTGAATTGGAAGGAAGAGTGATGAGACTATGCCCAGAATGACTATAAATAATTAAGACAACAGAAATTAAAATAACAAACTAATTTGGTAATCATAGTTAAGTAGATGGGTCAAAATTTGGGTGAAGGACAGTACTTAGAATTCGTACTTTTAAAAAGCTGACATTGCTAATAGTTTTCGATGCTTGGCAAATGGCACAACAATTCTTAATATGGTTGACTTATCTCATGAAACTCAACTGAATTAAATGTATGTTATTAGCACAATTGTAAGTACCTTCAATATTTTCATGAATTACTAGAATGTTACTAATCTTTATTTCAATTTCTTACTAAATCAGCCTACTCTATAAAGTTTTATGTGATCTCAGTGTAGGGTAAGAAAATAGCCTTTCATATACATTTTCTCTGCAGCTACATCTTACCTCTTCCTTCATCTAATCTGTGTCTCCTGATTACACGCTGCCGTTTTTCTTCTTGTCGTAACTGAAGGTGTTCTTCAATGTTAACCCCAGGTACTGGGACAGCTAGATGATTGACAATCAATCAATCAATTTTATAATAGATATGATAGAATTACATGAAATTCAAGAAAGTAAAAGCTAACAAAAACATTGTCTAAAACATAAATGATTTTTACTGCAAGAATCTTAGCAAAAAGGGAAAAAAAGATTCTCCTCCCTTAAAGACACATTGTCAGTTACCATACAAGCAGTACTGCGTAGTCAACTATTATCTTAATTTGTTAATGTGTATCTAACAGGAATTGTTTAAACTATCAGAATTATTACCTAATAGAAGATCTAAAGGTATCATCTCTTTGACTGCATCAAGAATTCCTCTTTGTCTTGCCTCTTGACCATCCAATTCTCTAGCACAAGCCTTGCAACATCCACATACAGCACAGCCAGATTCTCCAGAACCACAACCACAGATCCTAAAAATAAATAAATTATTAACGAAAATCCTTCTCTTTCCTTAAAACTCCATGACACCTTTTCTGCATTCTTAAGATTAACTTAAATAAGTCAGCAATGAAATCACCCCTTCAGATCAGGATCTGTCAATCTTAAAGAAAAGATATGAATGGATGAATAATTCCAAGATATGAATAGATATTAAAACTCCTAATAGGCATAACTGGTATATTTCTATAGAAAATACAAGTGAATCCTGTTATTTTCAAAGCCACTATTAACGAAGTCTTTTAAAAGTTTTCATGATTAGTGAGGTGCCAGTAGTTTCAGTATTAAGAGGCTAACAAACAGTTTGCTGCTATCTTCCAGATAAGTTAAGGAAAGCGTAGGCAGCCTTCAGTGAGTGAGCCAGCCCAGCTTGCCAGCTTCCTACGTTATGTCTCCTCACCCTACCCTCTCCTTTACATGCCATCACCTCTCATTCACTCCTTTCACGGTGTCCAGTTACCTATTCTTTCTCCTCTTCTTTGTCCTTTCCCTATCAGTTGTGTATCATGCATATGACGTCTGATTATAACATAAAGAAAACAAGAGCACTCCCAGAAGTTGGCTAGAGGGTCAGTGAACACTAACTTCTTGGTCACATATTTTGTAGGTATAGAAGTTCTAACTTTATTTTTTGTTTGTTTTGGGGTTTTTTTGGGGGGGGGATTAGGTTTGTTTATTTATTTCTAATGGAGGTCCTGGGGATTGAACCTAGGACCTCATCATGCATGCTAAGCAAGTGCTCTACCACTGAGCTATACCCTCCCCCAGAAGTCCTAACTTTAATGTTATTTGTTGGATCAGGCCTGAAAAACTTCTGCCAGCCTCATTGCACTTCTGGTTACCCAGGTTTGTGGAGGCCTAAGATGAAGGATCTACCTGGCAACAGTTTTGAAAGACATAGTTCTAGGTACCCTGGAAATTCCTGGCTTTTAAAAGCAAGCATTACAGACCATCTGGAAGATCACTTACAACAGTAAAAACTGATATGATAATATGCCTTACTGAATTGGCCATGGGCACTATTTTAAAAATAATGTTTAATACTAAATTTATTCTAAGATCTATATGTAGTCACAATTTTATAATATTTGAAGTCATTTTTAAGTGTTCAGTTTCCTGCATATATTCCTATGTTGACTTTATTCATGTATTTATTTCTACTTCACTAATAAAGAAGTTACTGTATTTCGTTAGACATCATCCATTTAAATCTATAAATAATTATTGGAAATTGATAGTATATCACTGGGAAAAAGGATACAATGAAAAATAATTAGTTTCAGGAAGGGCCAGAGAATTCAGAAATTCATTTATGATATTTATCAGTGGCATAAGTTCAGTGATTGGGAACACTTAATTTTAAATGACAATAGCTTGGGAGAGATCCAGAAAGATAAATTTCAATTCTAACATTGTTTAAAAAAAAATCACAGAATCTTTCTATATCCAACTTAAATTTAAAAATAAACAAATCAGAGGCTTAACTACAGTAAACACAACCAAACATATACCTTTGTAGAAGGAATATTTGATAAAGAGAGCCAAAAATTTTTTAACATATTAGCATATCAAAAAATGCAAAGAAAACTTATTGTTAAAAAATTACAATATTTCAACAGCCTAAAAGAAAAGGCCTATTATATATGATATATTTAACTATGTTAAATCAAATATAAACCTAGAAATACAGAAAATCAAGACACTGTTTGGGAAGAAGTACTTGACTACTAAAGAGGTATCAAACACGGAGGTCAGAGATGAGGAGGTGGCTATTCTCATTCTGGGCTTCTCTTCACAAAATTCTCACTACTCCCCAAAGTTGGCTAATTAGCATAAATAATCTGATCTTACAAAGATCAGATCTATCATAACACAAAGATGTAAGACAACTAATTAATTATGTCTCCCAAAGATCACTCAATTATGTTACATTAGCTATTAATGGCAACACAAAAATAGGACTTGAAATTCTCTCCAACATTCTAGGGGAAAACCTGTATTCTGATTCTGCCAAACTCACATATTAACTTTAAAATGATAATAACACAGAACCCTGAAGAGGAAAAAATGGTCCAACAAGAATAAAAAGGCTAAATATAACAGATATAATGCAACTTTAGAAGTGACAATTCCTAGAACTCCTAAAACTGCAAACAGAATAATAATTCAAAAGAAAATTATATAACCCTAATTGAGTATTCTATATGGTGTTTCATAATTCTATACAGAAACAATTCATGTTCAACAAAAATGATTAGATATGTGGCATCAAAGGAATTCTTAAGACTACAAAATGAAGCACAGCCTCAAGCATTAAAGAAATGTATGCCCTATTTTTAAATAATGACTTAAACAAATCAAATGAAAGAAAAGCACCTTAAATAAAATAACACTGAATTGGAAATTATTATAGTAGAAAACAATGATTAAGAATTAGAAGTATACACCAATATGCCTTTATAAGAAACAACATAACAGAATACACTCTAGAATGGCTTTTGAAAGAAATGTGTTCTGCTTATTTTCTACTACTATTTTATCTCTTGAGAATTAGTCATGTACTTACCCTCCAGGAACTCTGTCTGGACGCCCACTACTGACACAGCTGGCACCGTACCCGGTACAGTCTCCACAGACGGTGCACACCATGCACTGCTCCAGCTTCCACTTGTGCATGCCCGGAGGGCACATCATGGACTTCTCGTCTTTCTCATCCAGCTCTTCTTCCAGGTCCTCATCCATTGCTGTTGCCATATTTTCAACTCCAAACCCTATTTAAAAGATCAATTTACAATTCTGATGTAGGTTATTCCCGTGTCTAAAAAACTGGTCATTTTATTTTTCACTTAAAAAGTTAAAACATACATAACACATACTAATCCAAGTAAATATACAAAGGAATGATAAAATGTAAAAGCAACAGAAATAAAATTTAATTTAGGGATCACTAATAAGTGTTCTCCCCATTTTCTTTCTGCAGAAAGAGGCAGTGGGACTTCCGGGCAAGATGGCGCAGTAGAAGGACGCTTGTGAGTCACCCTCTCCCACAAATACACCAAGACCCACATCTACAGACCCACTCAGCCAACCAGAGCACCTGCGGAACTCCAACAGATCATCGCCCTCTTCAAAAGATAAAGATGCCAAAATCTGGTAGGAGAAAAGGAAAAAAGAAAGAACAAAAGGCAAAGCAGCGCGGGACGGGTCCGGCGGGGAGGGAGCAGCAAAGGAGGACTGGCGCTCGCTCGCTGGGTCTCCCCTCTCCAACTGAGAGGCCAGCAGACGGAGGGGGAGCCTCCAAGGCTCGGATCTGTACAGAGCAGCCCTTGTCTGACAGAACTAACTTAAACGGGCACAGAGCGTCCCCCGACACCCAGCCTGAGA